TGATCGTAGTCCCTAAAACAGAGAATACGTCTTCTACGAAGTGGAACACTTGGGACAAAACTTTGTGGTTTATCCATAATTTAGTTTCTAAACTACCGGAAATTAATTTTGACATGATGCTAGCTTCCCATGTCTCTAATAGTTTCATCCATCTTTTTTGCCTTCTTGCCTGTTTGGACCAATTTCACCAAGTTATTTGTAAGCAGATCTTTCATTGGTAACTTAGACGCTTCACGCTGTTCTGAGAATCACAAGCTAACATGTGCGTACGTCTGATATGTCACCAATTGTCCGTTAAACCAGATGTGATTGGAGCTTGTCTGCTTTTCTTCAGCTGCAGAAACATCTCGACAGCAGAATGGAAGTGATGTGACTAAAGAAGTTGATTCTGGTGATAAATCACTGGTAGGAAGATTTACCGTCCTGAGCAGTAATGAAGGAGTATGCGCTGTCATCAGCAAAATAAAATAGGTCGGGATCAACTAGCTAAAAATAACTTACTGTCGTTTAAGAAAAGTAGTGAAATAACTCGTCTACATCTCATAAGTAAATGGGTTTTCCCACCTTACATACATTATTAAACGGCAGTACGCTTGGAGGACTATAAATTTGTTCTTTGCTTCCCCTAATAAGGCGGAAACAACGCGCCACGAATGGCTTGTGCTGGGAAATGACCTTTATTTCGCAACTTCAGGTAGGCTAACAAACACATCCCTGACTATTTCCAGACGATCCACTCACTGTACACAACACTCCAAAGGCACACGCCACTTCGTCCCCAGAAAAACGCCTGCTTTGCGTGTGCAGACTTTTCACTTGCTGAAGACCAAGTAGCAATTGACACTGAGATGTATCAGCTCGACATAAGTAGTGAATCAGTGGGAGAAAAGCTCCGCTCTCACAAGACCTCATGCAACTGGACAGTTTTTTAGTAGCGCCACTCTAGGCTGGGGGGTTAATACAGTCCCATCCTCGTCCTCCGCATTTCCCCCAAGTTTTGATAATCACGCTTTCTTCACATTTTCTGATCTCATGCGAAATGGGATAGACAAACGTGTGGAAATTGGAACTGCCTAGGACCAGGCTTTTTCCTGGCTTTTAGAGAAAAAATTTTAGTCAAAGTGAATTGGAGAATAAGAGGTAGTAATGATTATCTCGAAGGATATGTTGTTTCACTACTGGTTGTCACTATTACCTCAGCAGAAGATGTTGGCTTAGCATCGCCTTTCAGTAGCAATCACCTCTAGTGTGGTTTTCATGATCAGTATCTTTGCCGAATCGCATAATTTTGTGTTAGCTTGAGCGCATTTGCACTAGTCACACGACACCTCGCTCTTTGATTGACCTTTGTGTTGGTTTAGCGGGTACAAAATAACTCCTGGTCTCACCTGTATTTAAATGCCTAAAAATGCTCGCTTTCTTAGGAATTCATTTGTGCAGCAGCGATTATTCAAATGTCTTTTTCCTTCTAAGCTGGCCTTTTACGCCTCATTTTGCTGTGGCGTATTCATGCTAGACGTCTTTGTGGCAGCCATTAGGAGCGCATCTTTACTGAATCAAGTTTTTTTTTTCCTTCTGGATGCATACACAGAGCAAGGTGTGGTGATGGACGAAGTGAATCACAGTGATCGCAGCATTTACCGTCACTCCATCGGATCGTTGCTCTCTGCTTCCGCCTCCGCCTCCTCCCCCGCCGCCGCTTCAAACTCCGCTACAGCCGGAGCTGGTCCCGTTGTAGGTGCCGGAGCCGGTGCTGGCGTTGACTCGCTCCTGCACGCGCCCTCCGACGATTTAATCGCGAAGAAACTCACTCAACCCATCTTCGTAACCTTCCTTGACACGGATAAAATCGAATTCGTCAAGTAGGCCTTTCAAGTGAAATGATAACTATTCTATACCTAATTTATGGGAAAATTGCAGAGAATATTGAGCTCCGTTAAAAGGTTCGTAGTGCATCTTTTAACAAACTGAGCACTTCAAACCTGGTCTTGGTTACCATCCTCGATGCGGGGAAAGGACTACATAGATCAGTTTGAGATCCCTTCTTTTTTCCCCTCAGTCATGAATCAAAAGGACCATTCTGTACTGTTTAATTTGTCCAAAGACAAGTGAATTGTACAGAAGAAAAATCAAGTACTCTTTACAAGCAGGCTATCGTTTTGCATTCTTTGTTGAAGCGGGGATTCTAGGTTGTTTACTTGATGGAAAGATAATGTAGGGCACCGAAGTTCCGTAGCAATTATCAAAGCCATTCCTAGAAAAGTCTACCCCGTTGCCTTTGTTACTCTTTCGTTGTCGGAATAAATTTAAACTCACGAAATGGGAAGTCCTTTTACCTTCCTACCTCTCCCACTATGCCAAGAGAACTGCTCTTCTGCACTACTTACCTGTTTTAAAATGGGCGTTGCGGATTTCTTGTTGTACATTAAGTGAGATAACATTACCTGTTTACTTTAACCATGAGTTTACAGTACGCCCCGTGACAAATTGATCTCACGACATACTAACATCCTCAATCCCATCGGAGGTGTCAAGTAAATTGTTCATTCTCCCTCTTCAACGCCCTGATTGGGTGGAGTGAAGTGGGAATTCTACCCCGTTTGTTCCATGTTGGGATCGCAGGGGAAATTGAATTTTCGACTTTTTAATGTGTCCTTTGGTGGGCTGATTTTGCAAACAATTTAAGCACATTGTTGTCACAGATATAATCGCATTCGTCAAATAGGCTGCCGTTTTGGTTTATTGTCTCCTCTTCTATTGTTAAGCCTTTGATCCCTTGATGGACTGATTGTTGGAGTTTAGCGAACTGACAATAAAACTTGCCGTGGTGTTCGATTGAAGATTATATTCGAGAATAAATTTACCTTAAGTGTACCCCATGAACTCTTCCAACTTCTCCTTCCCTTTGAGAAGTGGACCATCGTTCCACTTATCGGATCTTATCTTTCCCGCTCAGCGCTATCTCGGTTGCTTCGTTTAATCAGTTGAATTAAATGAATTGATTAATTATCTGTTTTTGGATCTATTCAGTGAATGAAGAGGTGGAACAGGATGTTGAGTTTAGTGGTGAATCCATAGTATTCCCTTTGACTAGCTGATCGCTGTCTGCAGTCGTAGAAAACACCCGTGTCTTTATTTTCTGGAAGTTCCCCTTGTTGAGTCTGGTTCTCAAGTATTCTAGCACGTCTCGAATTTCGCACTCTCGTGCAGTTTTCCTAATTGACCAATATCTGCATACAAACAGCCTTTAAATTTGCTACTAATTACTACCCGGGCAAGTTCCGTAATAGAGCTGTAAATACTCGAGGACGAGCCCATCTCCTGTCTCTCCGCTAGCCAGTCGACCGGCCCATATTCACTTCCCATTCTTCCAGCTTGCTCATACGGGTCAGCAGTTGAGAACTCCACGCTGAGGTCCTCAACTCTGATTACACTGCCTGGGAGCTGGACGCCGTCCGTGCTCACACGTAACAATTTATAACAAACCCGTAAGGAACTTATCTCTCCTGGATTGTGCATCTCTTCGGTGGTCTTGTTCGAGGTGATTTCCTGAAACACTGATCTTTGGGATGTTCGTAAATAATAAAACGACTCGGTAATCAGAGCAAATAACAACCTTGGTGGTCAATTAGTAAACTTATTTGGAAACGGTGTAAAGATGACTTTTTCATTGCTTGACTTAAAAATGAAAGAGTAAAAGGTATTGTAATCATTTTTTCTTTATTTTGTAGGAGCAAAAGTGGAATGTTCGGATGGGGATCCGACAGAAAGGAGAACATCAATGGGCATGAATGCCAGGTAATGCGAGTTCTTTTATGATAAAAGTTTTCTATCAAAGAGTTTTACCTCCGCTTTTCGCTTACTTCTCTTATTTTGCAGTTTGAACTGCTTAAGGCATCGGAATTTGAGTTTTTCTATGCTGTATTCATAAAATATCGGGAATGAAAGACATTTGAATTTTGTTTTCAACACGTGAGTTTAATGGGCGTTCACCAGTGTTAATTCTCATAGATCAAGATGCCCTTCGGTTATATTGACCTTATGCATTCCGTTTTCCAACTCATCAAAAGGGATTCGCATGCTCTTGGAAGGGCGGACTGACTGTCTTGCGATTGCGTAGTTCTCAAGAAAGAATGTATTCTCTCCACAGTGTATTTCTTCAAATTTTATAAGACAATTAAGTTAGTTAATTTGTAGTGCAAGTTAAGTGACTACAGGAAGTTTCTTCTGCTACCTTAATTGTTGGAATGATCACTTTTACAGCCTATGATCTCGTCTCAACAATACTCAAGCTTGGGAATTCTACCCTGGTAAGATAGTTTGCCTTCAGAAGCGGCAATCCACCTCCCTTTCTACCGCAGTTATTTTTCGCCTGAATGTCTATTCTACTTTCTCACTCTTTAACCTACTGCTAATTCCAAGAATGTGTGATAGCCACTTGTTTCGGGGTTATGAATAGAATACGGTAGCTGAGACCAAGCAATATCTCCCTCTCATCTGAATTTGGAAGTTTTCTCACAGGTAATTTCTGCAGCAGCGTGATGTCTCATAAGGATGGAACTCATCCTACCGATTCACTGGCCTTGACTTTCTGATAATGACTTTCTCCTATGTCAAGTAGATAAATCTCAGCCTCAGTTGTAGTTTGGCCTTCAGCAGGGCAAATATTAGTCTTCTGGTGATTATGTCAACAAAATGGAGGTGCTGCCTCATTCCACCTCGTATTTCTCTAAGTCATTATCATCTTTTTTTTGCCATTAGACATGAAATTGACCAAGGAGTGAAGTAACAGTGGAGGCAGCTAGGGCTTACTTTTTCCTCGACTCCTAGAAACAAAGCTTCTCAGTGAGGTCGTTATTGGTGAAAACCACGTGAAGTTGTTTGACCCACTACAAATATTGGTAAGGTCTGCCCTTATGCAGTCCATCTTCACAAATGGGACGACTTTGGTTGAAATCATGGATACTATTCTCGAATACAAGTCATCAGAAGAACTTTTCAGGATCGTTGATTGCCGTAAAAGTGAATAACGGTAGGGTGCATTGAGTGTAAAGTGTGGCCACATAAGGTGTCCTGATGCTTTTGCCTCAAAGAGGGACCTTTTAAACAAGCCCAAGCTCTCACTTCCCCGGAACCACCTCAGCATCACATTGCTGTGTTTTCTCCAAAACATAGCATGGTACCAAACTTATAAGTCCCATGTTCCCACGTTTTTCGCCTTTAGTTGTCAATCTGACTTGTTTTCCCTCCCGCATTTTCGAGTGAACCCGCAATACTTGTTCAACCGTCGTTTCTCTGCTGTTCAACCCTAATGAAGTGCATTGCCGGCTTTTAATTTGTCTTTGCCACCATCTGGTTTATCAGCCTGGCGAATCTCCTCAGCTTGTTTTTATTAACTCGAGGTAATTATACGGGGTCACCCTAAGGAATATCCTCAAATTTGGATGCAAAATCGTCATCGCAAATGTAATATCAAAGCCTCAGGAATGGAGAAGAAAACGAGTTCATTTACACTTGGAATCGCACTTTTTTAATCCTATTGTCCTTCTGGGCTTCATTTGAAGTTGGTAGCAGTAGTTCGCCCTTCAAGTTTATAACATTGCTCTACACAGACTCAACCGTTTTTTTTCTGGAGCCGTCCAAAATGGTGAGTACACCTTTTTTCGCATACTTTAGAACTCTAGCCTACCTCCTGGCTTTTCACATTGGATCTTGGTCCTCGAAGGGCCTGCCAGTCGAGAACTTTATTGGCTTGAAACAAACTCCTTTCAAATAGTTACCTTTATCTTCTTGGTATTCAACTATTTTGTAATCGCTTGATTCACAGTAGATGTCGTCTCCTTGATGGAAGTTTCCAAATCCATTCATAAGCACTTAACACATCGTCTTCACAATAAATTCTACTGGATGTTTCGACCTGTTTTTGATAAATTGAAGAATTGTCGGCCCAGATTTCATCATTTCTCTTACCACGATTCTGCATAAACCTGTACTGTACTAGGTAGCGTCCGATCCTTACTTTTTGCGGAGTCGCGAGCGTATATTTCTTCCATGAAGCGCAAACTCCATTGTGATTTCCACTTTACTGTAAAAATAGAAGTCCGCGTACTTATTTTAATTTGAAACTTCCTAATAATCTTTTTTCCTTGCAGGTGTGCAGCGCAGCAAACGTACAGATTGTAACTCTACGCAGAACGGAGCACCTGACGGAGGAGAACCTGCGCGACATTCAAGAGTCGCGCGCCAATAGCGGTAACGACTCCTCCGCAGTCAGCAACAACCCTCTCACCAATCTACTGGGTGGACAGAACTTTGAAAAGTCGCGCCATATCCAAATCACCAATGTAGGTCGCATTCCCACAATTAATGTTTCCTCTTTTCCATATGATATAGTGTTGAATTCGGTTTCGAAGTAGAAAAGGTTTGATTGCCGAGTTGACCGATTGTTAATCTAAACACCTAGTTTTCTACCAACTTTTTCCAGTCCCTTTCCCTTAATTATCAAAAGTATCCAAACGTAGGTCTTATTGCCTTTTCTTTTTTGATGATTTATTGACGGGTCAAGTTGTTCAAGGGTCGCAATGCGTTCGGTTCACCAACGAAGAAGGGCCACTATCAACTCCTTTCACGATTTCATCCCCCAGTGTGATGATGTGGTGGCGTCCTTATACCAAGGAGCTTTTAACTTAGGAAGTCGTTTTTATTTTGGTCATTCAAAACCTAGAGGGGATTTATCAGTGAAGGCCCCCTGTCAGCCTTCCTCTTTTCAAGCTGATCTCTGAGCCGATTTATTGTTCACATGCGCAAGAAATGGCTTCACATCACCTCGTTTATTTAAGCTGTTAATTTTAATAGTTTGTAAGTTTTTGACATGTAAGTTCCATTATGTATATTCTCTTTCAATTCCTTCCTTTCGCTGAAATGTTGCATAATATGGTGTGTTCCTTGGTGTCTCATAAGGCAGTCAAATATTCAAGTTTTTTTCTAGACACCTCTTCATGGTTCACATTACGCGCTACTAGGTCTTCTCTCAATTGTAGTTTTTAGGGCAGTTGGAAGTCGTTAACTTAACCTTGCTACCTTGCAGGACGAAGGCGATTCTCATAGAAAAGAAGCCAGCAAGCAAATTATCAAAAGGTGATGCGTTGTTTAACATATGTTTGAATGAAGTGAAGGAGAAATTGAAGGCCTTTGTGGGCCTTACTGTCAATTGCTAATGCCTGGCGTGTGAACGGAACCTACCTATCTGGTAGTCCCCACGACTTTTCCCACTCGATGTAGGTGTAAATCAATCCTTTCATCATTTACGTCAACTGACAAACTTGAATTAGGTCAACGTATCAATGGCCATACGTAATGCTTCATTAGCATAAAGGGTAAAGGGTCTTTCTCACCTTGAGTAATCCGCAATTAGAGGTAAAATCTTTAAACCATCCGTAAGTTGTGCGTTCCGGCACCGGATTCTTTTGCCTCACCTCCAAATTTGACGAGAGTAGCTTTTGCAGCTTTGGAACCACGGATTCTCATCACTACTAACCTCACGTCTACGAGACCAACTATTTCGTAGAAATTACCCACAACATCGTCACCTTGAAAGGTAATCAGAGCTCAACCAATGCAAGTCTTCGAAGTACGGACAATGATGCCTCCTCATAATGCTCAAAACACCCCAAACGAAACGTAACAAACATCGAGTGTTAGGCACACTAGTACTGTGGAGATCAGGTAGACCGCAGGCCATTCAGTCATGGGCTCTGGTGGAACGCCTTTCCCACCGAAGTCCAGCTGCACGAGGCGCATGCACGTGATTGAGCGCAAAAGAGCTGCTACAAAGAGAGGGAGTGAGAGAGGGCCGCTATCATCATCATTATCATTATCATTACTGCGCTGGGATGCAATGGGGAGGCGCGTTTGATTGGACAAAAACCGAGGGTTGGACGAGAAAGCGAAGTGAGCAACAGGATAGTTAAAATGCACCGTTGCCAATGCGCCTTCTTGTGTTGTGGTAACTCTTAACTAGTCTCTATGGTAGGCATGTGGAAAAGTGTATGACATTTCGGATCTAAGGAATGCAGACCATAAGCGGTAGCTTTTAAGCGAACTGTTGGTCAGGTGATGCACAATCTGCGAGTGGTTCGTAACCGGAATCAGAGTATTTAAAACCATTTGTTACTGATACATTTGACCACCGCGTCCTGACATTGTCCAAATGCTACACAACAAGTTGGACGCGAATCCAACTTCGATAGTTTTACAGTCCGAGTTGAACTCGGTTTGCAAAGTCGCCAAGCTGGATAAATACCCACCAGATCTAATCAACACATAATGACAGTAGAGAATTCAATGCCCTATGGTCCATTCCCTTAAACCGTTCCGTGTGTTGGACAAGTTCTTACAAGTTATAAGCCATTTAAGAGGGGTGTACGGAAAGCCACACAAACATTTTGGTTGTTGGATGGAAATGACAAGAGTAACAAGATGGTTACAAGCACTGTGGACACAGAGAAGTTTACTCTGTTAAATATACAACTTGAACAAAATCCTTTCGCCACATGACAGTTAGTTGACAGAATTAGTCGCTGCATGGTATGCTCAGGTGTGTGGAGTTTTTTTACCATCACCCATATTTATCCTACGCCAGCCAATGATCTGCTGTTGTTCGTTTATCTATTTTCAAATAATTGCTTTCATTGTTCGCTGTATGATGACGGTTATACCCTAGATAAAAACAATTTGCTCTCTAACACTTCAAGTAAGTCAACGATTTCTGAATACTTTGAGATCCAGTAGAAAAAGCGGTAAATATGCTTCTATATGTGAATGTCAAAGGAGGCCGTTAAGTGGAGCTTTTCACCGAAAGAAACGATTTTACTCCCCTTCCTACACTTCCTACCAATGACACATCCATGCCAGTTGTTTATGTGTTTACTTATCAATTAATTCATTAACGTTTTCGTCGTAGAAGGTCATACCAGGCAAATTGTCAACGGGTTTACATTATCTTCGTCTTATTTCTCTTGTGAACTGTTACCTTATAGATGTGTTTGGCGTTCTTTGTAAGTTAATTGCAATGAGGTGGGTTCAGTACGTATGCCGATGCGAATGGGAGGGAAAGAGACTGGTGGAGTACGTGGGTGGTGCCTGAGGCAAAAATGGATTTTTTTTTCCTCAAATCTAACTAGAAAACATGCAAATTCAACTCCATCAATTACAAATGTAGTCATGAGGATTGAAATCGCCTGCGAGGATAGCAGTAAGTCGAGGAGATTGTACAAGTCATTAGTATTGTTGTACCTTCAGGATTAGAGTACCTTCTGTTAGACAGACAGCTTTAAGCCTGGATGGTATTCCCGCCGGCGTGTATTTCATGTTCCACTCACTACACAATATAGAGCAGCTCCTCAAGATTCGCTTCTGGTTTTATTACTACCTTAGGTCTGCCTCGTTATTTGTGTTTCTTCTTTGTTTTCTGTCACATGGGAAGAGGGCATGTCAGCTTCCACTTCTTGATGCTTAGATATTCGGTCATAGTCAGTGTGGTCTTAATGGCTCTTCCATTATGAATCACCGTAGATACAGCTGTCGGTAGCAAATGCCTTTATTCTGTGCTCCTCATGAGTGGGCCCTCTAACAATTGGAGCGATGTGGCGTTAGGGTTACCTCTAGAATCGTTGTCAGACATCTAGATTTGGGCCTAACCTTATCATAAATCTACTGAAGAGGTGGAAGACTAGTAGAACAACAGAACCTCATGCCAACATCAACAAGATCGAGCCATTACAGATTGGACAGGCTCGCATCGTAGCCCTGATAACTCCCTTCTCGCTTCTGGAACCACCTCTCTCGATTTCATTGGTTACTCTTCTGCTACGGCCATCAGATCAGTATCCAAGTGAATTCTTGCTGTTATGATTAGGTGAATACGAATGCTGTCGCGTCATTTCCAAGGCGTAGAGTGTGGTGAACGTATTTCATCCCATTCTTATTAAGGTAGAGGTTGGAGTTGCTTTTGAGGACGGATCTGGAAGTTGACTTTTTAATAATGCCAAAAGGAGCCGTGAAGATATTATATTAGTCTGAGGGGAGTCAGCTCTGTACCACCGATGTGGAAGTCGAATCGCAAAGGGTGAAGGCCGATGCAATGCAATGCCTTGTGCCATTATCATTCTACTACGACCATTCTGTCTATTCAAAGCTCTCTGTGAAATGCGGTGACATTTAACCATCCGAATTCGATCGTTCATTGTCCTCAGAACCATTACAATCAATTAGCACTTTTTTCGACCATAGTATCGCCTGTTGCTGATTTTGGTATAGAACTCTACGTTAAATCGGTGTAGGAACTTCTCTGTTGTGGCGCTCCGCAGTTCCATCCTTCCATCCACAGTGGATGCATTTCTTCTATGATGTGTTGACGCAATATCTAGACAATAAAGTCGGGCTCTCCACCAGTTGCAGGGCTAAGTCATCCCTTAAAATGCTATCAGACAAGTGGATCCGGAAGTAGTTGTCAATATGAATAACAGAAGGCTTGGAGGGCTAGTAACATAAGTGGTATGGACTGTGTCCGAGGCTATTAGCATTGAGGCTTGTTCATAGGCCACCGGATAACCCTAATAAAGTTGATGTGACCTTCTTAAAATTCCACGTCATTTCAATTAAATTTTCTTACTAATTTTTCAAAAGGAGGCGGCCAGCTACAATCCGAGCAACATCACAATGGAGGATTACTTCTCGCATGACCCGAGCGTCAAGCCGAAGAGTGAGATCGGTCGACCCAAAGTGATGACCGCAAAGTTGAAGACTTACAAGGCCCATCTCTGGCTGTGTGAGGACTATCCGTTGTCGTTGAAGGACCAGGTTCTGCCCATCGTGGAGCTGATGGCTGAGTACAATCCCTTCTTCCATAAGCTGGAGGAATTTCTAACCAAAAAACTACCTCCTGGATTTCCCATGCGTGTTGGTGCGTTTGTCATTTGCCCTCCTGTTTCTCTATCCACTAATGATTTATGTCCGAGGTGGCTTTAATGAGCTCAAAAAGTTGTGAATTTGAGGAAACAGCTGCTAAAAAAGGTTAATGTAGGGGTTGTCGACAAGCTTCTGCTCAAAGGCTGGATTCCCGGACACCTTAGAACAATTCCGGGTTTGTAATCCTGTTGTGCCCTCCTCATTGACCAGTGTGATGTAAAGACGAATTTTACAAGTACTAATAGCCACAGCAAGGTCAGAGCCATTCAAAATGAACTCCAGGGATCATACACACGCACACATGTTATACGCCCGAAGACCTCATTTTTCCAAAATCTTGCCTCTCAGTTATTCCAGCTTGCACCACAGTAGTGGCCAGGTCATGACAGCTAAGTAGTTCAGTAAACTGCAAGATACTAAAGCTGCCTGCTAATCCTGAGACAGATTCAAGATCAACCAGACCTTTTATATTCAACGGTAGTCACTTTTTTTCACCATATCCTCGTCGCGTTCTGTGGGGAGGAAAGAATGACTCAACTAAATTTGGTAACCAGGGCGTCCTAGTTAAACCAAATGTGGGGATGAAGAGAAAAACGTTAGTCTTCGAAAAACAAAGCACTTCAGCGCGCTGCAAAATATTCTTGGTGTGCTCTGTAAGTGAAAAGAGTGGGTTTATTGAGGTATGGCAGCTGGGAGGCTTAATTAGAATACACCTTCTGACAGAACCAAGTCAAGTTGAGAGAAGATCTGATGATCGCAGATCAAGACGTACGCTTTTGATAGCTTTTAAAAGTTTCTGATTAATAAGGCATCAGGAGATGCCAAGTTAACGACGGAGTCGTAGTAACCTCAAATATAAAACGTGCTTTTGTGATTTTGGTAGTGTCTTTTCGGTCACCCAAATAAGTTATATGAGATGGGCAAATAAGTAGCTGGAGGGAGTTCCCTCAGGCATTTTGTACGCTGTGAAATGGTAACCAAAGCGATTGGAAACCCCCTCCTTGACGCAGCAAAAGTTGGCTCCAATTTCCGCTTTTATACAAAGGCCTGGCTCTAGAAGCCAAGAAAAAAAAACCCTAGCCTCAGCCACTTCCTTTTCAGTCCCACCTTTATTTTCGACCTAACTGTCTCTTCTGCTTCGCATGTGACTGTGTAATGGTTATAAAGTGTGGTAACTGGCTTTAGAAGAAATGCAGTGGGAATGCGGATGGTGTGGTATCATCGAGGCCTGGAGTGGTGAGAGCTTGAGTGCTATAGAGCGAATTTGTCAAAAATTTCCTACAACTCTGAAATCGTATTGAACTTGATCTGTAAAGTATCAGGTTTAACCCCCAGGGATCTTTGACCAGTCTAGTATTTTATTTGCTTGAAGATATCAAGGAATTCCTTTCCCTATTCGTCGAAAAAGCACAGCTCTTATTGAAGCCCCGGCCCCTGCAGAAGTGGTTTGATATGCTCCCTCATTGGGTCATGACTCAAACATCCCTAGTGCTGAGAGAACTCTACAGGAATTATGCAGTTTCTTATATTTTTTTTTTAAGAAAAAGGGCTTGCCGCATGTCTCAGCAATACAGTGGCACTGATAGCGCTTTATTAAGGGCGTAGTTTGTCTAGCCCTAGCAACCGTACCTTATTTATGGCGATTGGCAATTGTCTTGGACATTTGTAAAAAAGAGCATTTTTGTAGTTGAAACCGAGGAAAAGGGCAAAGTTGGGGACAGCACTGCGCGCATTTTTCGACAGTCATCCGCCGAACTTACACCTATCCCGGCTTTAACAAGTATCTGGTTTACTTCGTCATCGATTCCGAAATACTGACCTGTAAGGTGCTCTTTTGGGGATTCAAGCAGGTGGGCACCACTCGGAGTGAGGTCCGAACTGTGAGGAGGACATGGTTAAAATACCCCCAACCTAGTCAATGCGACGCGTAATCCCATTCCAACCTACCCTACTCTAATCCATCCACCCACTTGGTCGGTAACATCACACTTCCTCCAAAATCGTCCCAGAAACTGAGGAGGCGATAAGCATTTGTGGATTGGTTAGTACTACTGTCACGTCTATTCTCCCCCTGGTCCCATAATGTTACACTTTTAAGGATTCCATCGTATAACCTTTCCCAGTTCTAGAACTCAACGAACGCACTTAGATGTCACCTTATTGCAATCACGATTGACGTTTTCCCACCATAGAAATACCATTGTATCACATCCTCAACGCCTGCGTGACCTTCGGCAACCTCTACGGTGGAGATGCACCTGCGTACGGAGTAGTCTGCGACCGCACCGCGACCTCATCTACAAACACGTCCGCTGAACCCCTCGTCGGTGGCAATGGCAGTAGTGGTAGCGTTACCAACAAGATCGAGCCCACCTCATGTGTTGTGGAAGATTGTGTCTTTGATGTCGGCCGTGGCTACCACCTCATTGGTACGTGTCCCTACTCTTTTTTGTATTTCCAGTAACCTGATTGACTCACCGGGCGTGCGGAGTATTTTTTTGGTGCTCTCCGTCCCTTTTTTGCTTGTTTTTTTTTTAAAAATTGTAAATCTGTGAAAGGTAGTGGTGGGGCGACTTTCATTTTTGGTGAATACATCAGTCAATGGATCAATGGAAATCCGACGATGTCTTCCAATGACCACTTCCGCGGATCTTTATGAATAACGATGCCTATCGGAATGAAGCCCTTGGTCGCGTTTTCAGTGTTTAATTTTACTCACGTCTGTTGTCTCCTTTCGTAGTGACTTATTCTCGCAGCAACGATTGTATCAGTTAACACTTCAACGGACGGTGATTCCTGTTACCCGATCTACACGTTTAGCTATTTCGAGTCCCACATTTGGCGTTTTTTAGCAATCTCCGATCCTCCTCCGCCTCTTTTTTGCTAATGAGTGTATTTGCGTGGCCTGTGGTACGAATGACAATAACCCATTTTGAGTCAGATATGCGCATTTTAACTACCCGTAATTCAATGAATGCAGACAACTTTGGAGCCCCCCGACGCTGAAATGACTTCCAGATGAGCTATTACTATTACTACGCATCACATTTACCAACTCCATAGTACGTTAAACGTCTTATCAATTTCCTTTTTACGTCTCGGTGAATTCTACGAATTACCACTCCACCGGGTTCAACCCCACTTACAGCAGCACATTCCCATTTACACAATAGTTTCACGGCACTCATTTAACCTCAACAGTTGCTGCCACCTATAAGTGCATTTTGCTCTCTCATTTTTTTTCCAACAAGGTGGAGTAGATAAAGCCAAAAGTTACATTTTTAACCAAAAACAGAAAAAGTAAAGAAAAAAAAGTGGAACTAAGACCACGTAAGTCAGGAAATGAGGTAACTAGACAACTCCATTGAGTTGGTTTTTTGTGGTAGAAATAACTAACTGCCACAAGCTTGTGCAATTCACAACCCTTTCCCAAATAGATAAGCCAGGCACTTTCACAACAGTGCTTTTAACTTAGGAATCGGCAAACTCAATTTTAACCACCGCCGTTTCTACCTCCTTTTATTCTCAAACAAACTGGGTAATTGCCATCACTTGGAGAAATACTGCTGACCCCCACTTCTAAGGTTCGCTATAAAGTCTTCTCTCATGACCAATTTTCGTGGCAGTTGGGAGTCTTGTATTCACGTGGCTGATTTACCATTTCTGGCAATTTCTGAAGACACAGTGGGTGAGGAAGAAGTTCTTCTTGCACATCTTTGGGCTGTGTCATTTTGTACGACGTAGGCAGATCATTTGGCCTTCAGCGAGCATTAGCCTTCCGGTAAGGAGACGGTGCGTACCTCAGAAGTGTGGGATAGTGGGTAGTGGGTTGGACCCTCCGACCTTGCAGGGAAAAAAGCTGCTTCTCATAAAAAGCAGTCAGCAAGCAAAGGATCGACAAATGGTTCGTTGTCTTGAAATAAATGAAGGCGGTGAAGTTGAAGGCCAACTGTTAATGTCTAGTGTATGGATGGAAAATATTCGTTAAATAGTGAGAATTACTTTAGCCGAGTCGAAGGCTGACTCTTCATGCTGAAGAATGGTCTTCCCGGACTTGATGCATCCATCTTGAAGCGATTCACCATCAGAATCAAAACTGCGCAAACCATTTGTGGACGACACCTTCCCTGAATACAAAACGGAAAATTTAGCAGAAAGCAAGCCTCCGCAGCCGGGAAATCGTGTTTAATCCGGATCGTAAACAAGGAAGTCTGGAAGTATATCCATAAAGTAAAAGGCACAGTACAGGTAGACAGACGCATCCATGCTTTATAATAATCAAGCATATTTTACATGCCCCTGCAAGTTAGCGGCAAGTTGTTACACCGATCCCTATCGTTAACCCACACGACCTTTTTTGGCCACCTGATACCGCATCCCTCCGCGCCCAAGGCGTGCGTGCATATTCCCCCGGAGCTTCGACCAATCAGAGAGCCGCCTACGTGATACATCCTCTGCACCAATCAGGGAGCAGTGGTGGGGGTCGGGGATGTGGCATGCGTGCATGCAATGTTTGGCCATTCAGGTCGCTGAACCTTAGTTGTGGGGTGGTGCGATAAACAGCATCGGTGTAAGCATCAAGTTCGTGCACTTCAGCATTCGCATGGACATCTCCCTGGTGGTGGTCGAAGAGTTGCCTGTACGGCGATCCCGGTTTCTTCAAGACTGGATGGAAAGGTGTGTCATTGTTGAACCACCGACCACAGTTCTTTTGCCATTATCTACCTTCTTCAGCTCTGATCGATTATTCGAGCATTCAGTTGATGATGGTTTTGACTGATTCTAGCCACATCAACTCATTTTCATCTTTCTTCAAGTGAGAGCAGATGATAGACTGATTTCGAGTATTCTTTAATGTGAATTCAACCGACCGTTGTAAGAGGGGAGGGGACACATCCGGCTCTTGCCATACTAGTTGCCGCTAGGTCCCAAGTAATTTGGTTTTGGTATCCCAGCAATTGCCCTGTTTGTGGCTCAGTTTGCAAGAAATGGTAAAACATTTAGATGTGTTAGTAGTTGGCTGGCTTCAGGTTTCTCTATTCTTAAGGTGGGTTCGGGATTCAAGATTAATGTGTTCGCCGCACTATTCGTCCATTGGTATCAGATACATCCATCTGGCTCGAATCCATCTTCTAACTCACCTTATGCTTTTCAATTCATCCCCCTACAGGTGTATTAATCATGGATCCTTCTGGCCATCCACTTTCTCCTTCCACTCATGAATCTGTTTATTAATCAATCTGAAACTCTTTGAATCAAACCTATTCATTCAGCTGATCAATCCTGCAATCCATCTATGTTGAATTAATCACGGATGCATAGTTTTATCCCTGATCCACCTCTTCATAGCTCTAGTTAAGTAGTATGTTTAAAACACTTAAAAAGCGCTATCGGCATCTAGTACATCCGTCTTTGTTGTTGCTGCTGCTGCTGCTACTCCACGTGGGATTTGACGTAGATGTATTGAATCCTAATTCATCAGTTCTTCATATCCCACTGCTTTGGTCTCACCTCAGGTCATCCACATGGTCCTGCGCGAACGGAGCTGACATGCCGTTTGTGCTTTCACCAGGTGAATTGTTGCCCTCCAAACACCTCGTTCTATGATATTTCAAACACTCCAGGTTGTTGTGTTGGCTCCACACTGATAAACTTTGGTTCAAAAGGATTATGATCCGTGGTTTCCTTGACTATGTCACGGAAGATGTGACATCTCGGAGTTTGCTCTTCCAAAACGATAAAATCTTCGGATCAGTCATGCTGCTACGTCGCGGTGGTATTTCATACCGATGGGTGAAATCAACGTTAGGCGTGGTATAGACGACATCTTTTCCAAAAATTATTCACCAGCAGGTGCTTATCACCTTGTCTCACTTCATCATCCGAGTAGTGATGATCCGTCCTCCACTTGTCCCTCCCACAGATGACCCTGTATTCAGCCAATCACGTGGCTGGGAAGGCGCGGGGTGGGACCGGGGTGACAAGAGGTGGCGTGAATCAGCAACACCACCGCGTGACTCACATTGTCGCAGTGGTTGGAACAAAACAAAGCCGCCGGCTGGCTGTCGAATTCTCTTTTCAAGTTGATTCCACAAGTGTCGGTTGAACAACAGTTATCCAGTGATCCTATTCCCGAACTGTTAGTAACTTTCAAGGAACTTGATAAAAGTATCAATTAGAATGAACTGACGACTGATTGCCACTAACTAATATCTTATTATTTTTTATAGATTGAAAATTATCCTTTCGAGTACTTCAAGGAGTAGTCGGAGGTGTTGACCCATTGTAATGTGGTTTGGAAATTCTCCCCTAAGTAGTTAGGACTTCTCTTTCGTGGAATTCTCAGGCCCCCTTTCCGTTGGACTTTGCGTGTACCATGTGGTGTAACTTTAAGTTGGTTGACAGGTCTTATTTGGAGTTCGCTTTGTGCAAGGGCTGGCAGGGTAGAAGAAACGTTGACTTTATGATTGGAGCCACGTGTAATCGACATGGAGGGCTGAACAATTCAACACCAAATTGGTGCGATAAAACTGTCCTGTTTTGAGCCCTATGAAGCTATTGAACTTCTTCACAAGCCATCAGGCTGAGTATGGTCTTGAGGCCGTTTGGTGGGCTCCTAATACACTTCCCTTGCATCCTCCAAGTTGCTCCCTAGGAGGTCATAAAGTCTACCCGGTTGGCCGCAGCTTTAGTAAAAGCATGTGGAAGAGGTTGGGGCCCAGTGGTAGGTGGAGGGTGTGGAATGCCAATAAGGGGTAGTTCTGTACAATAAAACATACAACGAAAATGGATATTATTGTTAGTGCGTCCCTCCTGTGTCTGTTTCAGAGGAGACCTCGCCAGGCCACTTTGGCACGATAGACGAGGAGGAACAACTTGTGCAGATGGCGGTTCAAAGATCCCTAGTTGAGTATGGTGGCGCGGAGCACCTTACCCAACGTCAGTACTCTCTCGTAAGTCCACATCTACCTCCGAACTGTTTAAAACACTCCCCTTTTTTAGCTGAACCTGTTAGCTATTCATTTACTATACTTCATTATTCGTTCACTTGTTACTTTATTCGTTCCTTCCTTTCCACAAACTGTTCCTTTAATCACTTCGCCTTCATGTTATGCTCATTTATCTGTCCGATTGGATTCATCTATCCTTCTTGAACGTGTCTAGATTCATCCATATGTCCCGAATCGATCCATCCACACTTGGTCTAGCAGTTCTTGAATAGTTCACTCATCCTTCTAAGCGTCCATCCTCGTGCAATTCGCTCGTGGATTGCTTAAAGGACATCCAACTGTTTGGCGACTTTACTAACTGGAAATGCGACAGTACGTAGTCCATGTTATGGGTCTCAAGCCGTTGTGCTTTTGCACTTTTGAGTATCAAAGTAATTATTTAATCCACTATTCTAACTATTCTTCCCATCCTCTCCTTCACCTGTCCATCCATGCATCCATTTCCAATTTATTCATTCCCTGGACTCATACACCAAGCATCGATGACAGGCAAACATTGCCACGCAATGTTATGTGTCGCAGCGCCACTAATAAATTTGGGGTGCTCGATGTCTGAAGTAGCGTTGAATGACCCAAGTCAAATAAAATTCTGCACCTCAGTAGAAGTGGTTTAGGCAGTGAAATTCACGTGCCGTTCCAATTCACAGTCATAAAACTGGCATATGATTTCACTTGACCTCTATTTAGGCCAAGCGAGGGGTTGTTGAAGCCCGTCCGGGTGAATACGTGGACCCCGAGGAGGCAATGATGCAGGAGTGAGTCACCGTCTGCTTCACTTTCTGCTTTCTTTTACTGATTTAAAATAAGTAGAAACTGTTTTTTTAATTGTCCTTAGGGCAATCGCGGAGAGCTTCCAGGTGGAGAGCGGGCTGAACGACCTGGAGCAGCAGTACCTGAAGGCACTCGAGCTGTCACGAGAAGAGGTGCTGCAGGAGGAGGAGCGACGCAAGCGGGAGGAGGAGGAGCTGGAGCGTGTGCTAAAACTCTCATTGGTGGAAAATTAGGCCGACTGGGTTTGTACCTCCCCACTCCTTCCCGTCTAGTCTCCTCCCTCCTTGTGTTTGTGCGTGTCTGCTCTTTTTCTTCCTTTCTGTTGTCATGATGGTTCCTTTCGCAAGCACACGTACAGCTAAATAGACTTGACTTCGTTCTTCCCCATTATTCCTTTTCGATTGAATTAACCTTTTAGACGCATCGAATACATTTATTTCTGCATGAGAATCGGTCTCTTGGGGTGTTTGTAAGGCCAAAAATCAAGTGGCCCACTCTCCTATCATAGGTAATAGGATGGAGGCTTGAATATTCCACTTTTCAAGCACATGTTTAACTCTTCTGCCACCAGCGTGGAGTACGTGACGTTCCGGTTTTCTTCTCTGAGCCCGAAAATTACCAAATTGCAGTCTGTCAATTCATAGTAACCACTTGCAACAATTCGGTTTAGGCCGATAAAAGAGACGGATGATGTTCTTGTGCCCGGGAGTAACTACATGGTTGAATTGGTCATTTCGGTAGCGCAAATGCTGATGTCACAGTGTAACAGTGAATCAGGTGAAATGTGGTGGAGGGTTTGCCTCCCAGACCCTGGTGGCGGACGCATTGGATGCTCGTCCAAGAGTTAGGTGTGGAGGATGGGAAACACTGTGCGTGATTCAACTACAGAGGATCAATGCACTCCAACCGCGGATTCAATTCGACAGAATCTTCAGCGCGTAAAGACGTCTCAGTAATGGCTCAACCGTCGTCTGACTACCTGTCAATTTTGGTCCCCTAAGTAGCCGCATTTACCATCACCTCGAAAAAAAAATTTTCTTATGCAATTCCATAACGCATTCCGAACGCAAGAATGACAGCCTCGGCTGTGGGCTGACGATTGCCACCACCACCGCAGCCGCGATCACCATCGACATGTGGGCCATGCGCAATCGCCTATGAAATGTTGACACCACCCAAACATTCTGCCACTTAATGTCAGCATCCTGTCACCGTGATATGCTTGTGGGTCTTGGCGTCTTCTTGCAGCACCACACACTGTCTCGACCGGTCAAAACACGACACGCGTGCAGACCACCAGTCGCGAGACGTTACTACGGCCGCCTTTCCCCCTCATGCCTGCACAAACTAGGTGCCGGCTATACTGTGTCGCACACCTACTTACGCCTGGCAGGAGCATATCCGTTTTAACGAAAAGTGACCAATGGAACGGGGGCTACTAAACATTTTGGCTACACTCACGAGAAGTCGCTGATGATAAAGAGGTGGGGAAAAGGAATTATTAACAACTACGATATTAGCTAATGATGGTGACCATTTCGAAGAATCACTAACAACCTTCATTATTTCATCGAAAGCCCTCCTTCTTCAAAAAAACTACATTTTGCAGTGAAGAAACCTTTTCCAAGCTTTTATAAGAAAAAGTAGAGAATATAAATAATCATGATGTGTTGCGGCAGTGAATGAATGGTAAATGTTGGCCAGACGACACGAACCGAGGTGAAACAGTGGGCGCGCCTCAGCGTGAGTATTTCGGCTCCAAGTCGGGATGTGCGGAGGGGACGGTGGTATCGGGAATGTCGTTCCAGTCAGGCAACTTTGGGTCCTTCAAATACGCGTCACGAAGCAGAGACCGACCTGGGAGACACTCCAATGCACCAAATATCGCACCTAAAAGGTCGAAATGAGAATACTCCTTTCACTGAAAACCCTGGGATTAGCTTGGCACTGGGAATTTAGGTTGTGAAAAGGTGAAGGGAACAGGCCAAATGTTAGCGCTAATTTGTTCCAACTACATCAATAGACTTGATTGAAATATCCAAAATCTACTTAACCTTTCACCTTAACTCTTCCTGCTTCTTACCGGGCATTGTAAGGACGCACTGTCTCCACGTCTGCTTAAAAAGTCCATTTTAGAAAGATACGGAAATCGAATAGATTTACACATTTTGCAGATAAAAAATAAGTAGGTCCAGAAAGCTTCTTTTCCCACTTTATTAGTTAAAATGACCAACATTGCAGTCAGTATTCATTCCCCAGCTGAAGACAAATTAACTGCAAAATCCACCATTATAGAATGTTTTATACCTAGGAACCAAGAAGAAACGCAGCTCTAGTCACATTCAATTTTACTTTGCTTATATTCCCTAATGAAGTACCGATTTTAATTCACGCTTTATTGTGTGCTCCCAAAAGAAAGTGATTAGCACTGCTCAAAAAGACATCATCAGGAGACTATGGAGGAGGTAGTACAGCCCTTCTATCCAAAAGTGCGCCACTGACATTGTATCATAGCTAAGATTGGGAACATTAAGAGATCTAGTAAAAAAGGACTTTTTTCACGACAGATTTGCTATTTTAATTGTATCGCAAATGTGGTCTTTCCTGCCTGTTTTGGAGCTGTCGTTAGCATCGCGCAGGCAAATTGTCGTTTGTTGTGAAAAACTGAATGTGCGACCCACCGCACATGCACACACACACAAGCAAGCAAGCAGTCTTCCGGGTGATTAGGAAGCGCATTGTTCAGGGACAACTGTTACAGCATAAAGGAAAACGGAGCAAAAGTACAAAACCCATTCCTCACCACAAGTTAGTCGGTCAGTTGGAAGTCAAGACAGTAAATAACCTGCTTTGTACAGCGCTTTTATGATGTCTGCGGAAGAAACGAAGACCGGTTTGGCTGTCTGTCTAGTCGATCGTTATCTGATGTCAATGCATGTAGGTTGAAACCATTTACCCAACTGCTTTCACGACTTCCCCTTCCCATTTGATGCAGGTGTAAACAAATTGTTTTGACAACTGCTCCTAACTTGCCTTTCTTCATTGATATCGGAAACTGAGGCTCTGCCTCAAAGTGAGGTAACTGTTCTTGGGTGGCGCTTTCTGCTGTCACACCTCCTCTAAGTGCTGCACAAAAAAATGGACGAGAAGCCTCCGCAGGGAGTGGAATCTCGTTTAACTTAGTCAGGAAGACAAACAAGCCCGAAATGTTATGATAAGAGGTCAAAAATAAGAGGAAAACAGTAGAGACTGCAAATACAGAGTATTGCGCCGATGACAGTACATCATCCGTGCAAAGAACCGCATGCAGTTGGCAAGCACCTACAAGTTAGAACAGGCTACCCTGGAGACCGCACAAGCTTCTTCGTTCGCCTGGTAATTCTGCAGTAGTGGTTGAGAAGTGCAAAACCGTCTTTTCTGATAAAAAACGGACTCGTCTGTTCGTGTATGGGAGTTTCCTTGGAAAAGCACGATATCGAAAAGTAAAACAGCAGTGTAGATGGACTGTGAATTCAAGCCGATTCTCCGCATTCTAAGCAAGATCATCTAGCACAAGATAGCCAGGATTCCTCAAACAGTTAAAAATAATTTTTTTGTCCGTTGTGAAATTGCACCATGGCTAACCCTACCTTCAGTTTAACAATTAAAATGCAATATTTTATAAAATCTCATGAAATAAAAGACGCGAATAGTAGCGAATCTCACCGATCCTTTTTGACACCTATTTGACTACCCATCGACTGTCAGCATTCTTCTACCGCAAATGAAAATATGTCACATTTAATCCCTTCTTCGATGATGATCTCTGTGACATTTTTTTTCAGAAACGCGAATGCACCTATTACTAATTATGCCGTTTTAGCCAAGAGGTAGCAGTGGCCTTTATTTACCCAAAGACGTGATTCCCGAAGAACCTGTGCCACCTGCAGTAGAATCGAAGAGCCGCATCCCACGACGATAGAATTACTGAAACCCAGGCTCCCAGGGTCTCCATGAGACACAGGAGTCGCTAATTCAGAACCTCTTAAATAAACGAAATTTCCTCTATTTAAACGACAGGTTTACTTATAAGTTATCCAAACAGGACCCAGCGACAAAACGCTGATTCTAAAAGCCAATCTTTCACCGAACAAGGTGAAGGTGCACAGAAACATCTGGACACACTGTACACCTTCCGACTGTTCAAGACTGCTGTAAAGACTTTACGGCGCCGAAAACAAACCAAACAAATCGATTTCAAAGCCATAAGGGAGGCGGAAAACTGACCTCCAAGCCACGCAGTGTAGTTGGCCTTGGCAGGGGGTTTATGGAACTTGAGGTGTTTCTTGAGAGCCGCCAGTGACGCATACTGTGGAAGGTCGAGACCTTTCTGCAATTCCTCATTGAGACGCTCCACAAAGCCCGGCAACATTGTCGTGCCGCCTATGCACACCACGTTCTGTACCAGTGACCTAAAACGACCAAAATCAGCAAGCAATGAATGAGCGTTGTTTGCCAAGTGCTAACAGTTTCAAAAGCCCATGTAGATCTGACGTTCTACTCCAGTAGTGGAGGACCTACATTACTTATAACACAGGAGATCATAAACACATGGACAGACACCGTTGGAGGAACTATGGTAAATAGCAACGTTGATTCATTGGCTACTGGATCATTAAGAAAAAGAGGAACAATTTCATGAGCATTCTTGGTTTCACGAGTCAATGGCGCCTTATACTTCTGGTGGGAATGCCTATAAGTGCCTGCTCAAACAAGATGACGGAGCCTCAGGAAGAAGCTGGCATCATCCACTAAAGTTTCAGTAAATTTACGGATCGACTAATCATAACGAGCAACTAACAGAAAAAAATGACATCAGAGAGATTAGCTGGTTAATAATTAGCCATCACAGAGAGAGATCTACTTGCAACGGAAGCAAGGTTTCTGCTTAGAAACATATACATAATCATCTTGAGAGTGCATTAGTTTTCAAGTCTAAGGCTTTGAGGAAATCACCAAGAAGCAGCAAGAATCCACAAGTAAGTGCAAAACGCATCTCTTGCGTCATGTCACACCTGTTTGACCACTCATAATGGTCAACCAATTGAACGAAAAAAAAGCAAGAAAGAATCAGTGACCAAAGTGTCAACAAATGGGCAATGGACAGACTAATCCGCTTGCAAGACAGTTATTCAAACAACCGACAGAACCCAGGTATGGGATCATTGATTAAAAGGTGTAAAGATAGCTAAAATCTCATCTGATAAAATTCCTTGCACAATCATCTCTCACCCCCAAACAGACACTAACAGGTTTTCATTCCGTCGAGATTAAAAACGGCACAACCTTTAAGAACTTTTTACACTACTTTTTGTGAAACCAGATGTTAATAGTAACAATTTAGACACAACAGACCCATCTATCTAATCTTTTTTGGAAAAAAACATGCTAGACCTCAGAACCCGCTCGCAACATCAATTATAAGTCACCAAATCAATCTATACGAAGCAATCTGTAGTAAGAGGTGACCAGCTAAATTAAGGGTGATGGTACGATGGGTGGAAGTCAGGAGTGGTGAGGTGGCGACTAAAAAGAGTAAATTTTCAGGTGCCCTTAGAAAAACGAGGTAGCGCACACCAACAACTAAGCTACTAAAATCACCAATACAGGCTTAATTTCTGAGCCGATTCAATTAACACTACCATTTATCAGCCAAAATTTGCCACACTGTATACTACCTACAAGCAAAAACATACATTCTACAATCGATGGGGCACATCAGCAGACAGTCCAAAAACAGTGTCGTGATCGTCACCCCATCCGCATCGTCTGGAGTGAACAGTATTTCAGTCGCTGACTCTCGCAGCCGCGAGGGGATGTGGACAAGCCTCGTCCCTTCTCCACACCCTGCCAAGGGACACGTGAAGCTTTCCGTAGCATAGGGTGGAGGCTGAACGGAAGGACATCCCTCTTCCGACTTCTCGCCCTCCTCTATCCACTTCTGCCACAACGCAGCCCTATCTGCGGGACTGACAAAACAGGCTCGCATCAGAATATCCTCCAGCATCGCATGCGTGTCACCACCAATGTCGAGAACCTTGGAGAGCTTCTGACGCTCCGCACCATCATCCTCCACGAAAGCGTGCTCCCGAATCTGGCTTTCTAGTCGCTTGTGGATGTGACGACTACCAAGATGAGCAGAGTGCCAAGTAGAGAGGAGAGTAAAGCCCTCGCAGACAGGGAGAACAATGGCCTCAGAATAGCCGCAATCGAGGACCAAGCCTGTGGAAATGCCGAGAGTGAAGAGGGCCACTAGATGAGCCGGTGCGAAGAGGATAGAAGGAACCTCAAAGTGACGGAAGAGAACATCAGCTATGGTTTGACGAAAATGCGTGGGAGTCATAATGGACTCGACCATGACCACGCGACGCTCTTTTGGGTTGACAAGAAGATACCTGGGATGAATATACGAGGAAATGATAAGGCGTACCTATAGCAGAGACGGTAGAAAAGTCCCTTCAGAGATTCGTAGAGATTGGTGTTAAAAAAATCCATTTTGATGAAGGGAGAAGGAAGAATAAAACGCGGACTGGCTTCGCCAGCAAAACCACACCTAAATGGAAATGAATTGTTGATGCAATGATGTGTTACTTTAGGTAGGCTGCCCCGAGATCAAATATGACAGGGGTCTTTTCACCAATCAATGAGTCGTAGATAGTCATGTTCTGAAGCGAACAAGAACGGTTAAGTGGAAACAAAGCTAAGCAAAATGTAAAATTCCAACGGTATTTCAACATGAAAGACAACACAGCAATAATCAAGCATATAAGCAGTAAATTGCAATCACAGGCAGATTAATGTTGCTATAAGTATATTAGTAAGGGAGAAACATTTGATACTGCTTATTTGAAACCATTTACGGAACAAAAAACGCTACCCAGGTCAACTGCAAGGACTTCAAAGGCAGCGCTCCCTGGGGGAAAAGTAAAACTGGTCGAAATCGAAACCAATTGTTGGCTAATCACAGTTCCAAATTACATGAGAAGCAGTCGTGCTTTTGACAAAATAGTTTATAGCACAAAATTTGCCTCCAACAGCTTAAGCATTACTCTCAACTTAACCCAAATCCAAGTGCAGTTTTTCCACTCAAATTTATCAGTTCTGAGAGATAACGCAACCCGATTAGGAAAACATATTTGTTTTAAGTGTTTTGCGAAGATTGACGGACTAATCGCAATCTCGTTGCAACCATAATGCTTCGTGTTGACATTTCACACTTGCATAAATGCATTGAATTTTCTGAGACTTAAGAAAGCCTTCTTTATAATATTTACAAAATCCTTTTAATCATTAAAAGATACCCACCCTAATTCCAAATGAGATCCCTTTTCTCCTGAAACATATTGTACGAAATGGATAATATTACCATACTAACGGCCTACAGTGGGATGAAATCAGCTTCTCAAGCACAAAGGCGATCTTATATAGCGTCCCGAGACTTCGTCATTGATAAAGAAGGACTGGGGGCCACTGGCATGGTCCAGAGACCAGACCGCTCGGCGAAAAGTACAATGGCGGCGCCCCTAAGCGACCTGTCATCAAAACTGAGAGTTAAACGTGCTAATAACGTACTAAATCTAGGTAAACTTAGCCGGGTAAGCACCTCATTCAGTTAGGAAGGCTATATTAAGGTCTTTCCTGGTTGCAGTAAACGAACTCCCCAACTTGCCTTTAGCTTTGACTTATATACTGATTAAGAAAACGCACTTCTCCTACCCTCCTGTAGTTGTGCGGAGTACATTAAACGGCCTCCCAAAAATCGGAGGAGGAGGAGCAACCGAAGCGCTCGGCATTCGTAAACAGAATCGTACGCAAAAACAATATATGCGCGTGACACCAAGGCATGGGAAATTGCAGGATTCGCATAACCTACTTTGCTAAAAACGCAATGGACTACCAAACCCAAATGCAATCAAGAGGCAGGACATTGAGGCAACAAAATTATCCTTTTGTTCATAGGATTAGCACCACGCACAAACATGCATCCAATAATAATGAGTGATAAATATATATGCATATATGTACATAGATTCCTGTACAGGGAGGAAGTCGCGCACTGCTTATTGGTAAAACTGACTGTAGTATCGACAAGAATAATGGCAAAGAGGATTTAAAAAGGGGTACATCGTTATCACAGCGTCCTCCTAGAGGCCCTTCTCCTACCTCCAGCTCTTCCCGAAGTCACTCCCGCCCCAACAGAAGCAGACGTCGCGTTTGCGGCCGACATCCTCGTGGAGGGTCGATTCGCCACCGCTGCCAGCCGGGCTCTCTTCACGGCCAGCCGTGAAAGTGCTCCGCCTGCTGTTCCCACTCCAGACGCATCGCCACTGGTAGAAGAGGAGGTGGATATTGCTGAAGACGATGACCAGACGGCCTTCTGGGGTGTCATAGAGGTCGTTCGCCGCTTCCGTAGCTGTCGCCCGCCACTGCCGACAGAAGCATTTGCCTCTCCCACAAGACGCTGCAACATACCCTGCTCTTTCAACTCTTTTAAAAAGGCTCGGATGAAGGGTTCGTAGTTGTGGATTCGTCGCGCTGCGTCCACTCGATATGCCTGCCGTTTCGACTCCTCTTCTGCTAGAGCCGCAGAACAGGCACGCGCTTGCGCCTCTATACCCGCCAACAGTTGACTGAGGTTCTCTGTAGTTAGAAACGCCGTGGTTGTTGTCGTCGCTATTGAGGAATCATCTCTATTCAAAACTATTCCCGTGGAACGCGTATTGGCGAGTGAATGTGAAGCAAGAGTGTCCCGTTTTGTAGACGAACGAGTAGAATACTTGGAAACGGGACTAGAGGACTCTTTAACAATGCTCCTACGACGAGTGATGACCCCTTCCGTAATATCATCCGAGAGGGCGTTATTATTTGTGGCACAGATATCTCCTTCAGTGAGATCAATGCAAATTGACGTGGGAGAGGAGACCGAGCTGCCAATTTCGCGGAGGTTTGATCTGCGTGCGGCGGCACCGGTGATAGGGGCGAGGGGGGCGGAGCGTTTCAAGGGTTTTGATTGTCCCACGGCGGCCGCTGCCGCTGCAGCAGCCCGACTGGCCGCCCGAGTGACTGGACGGTCGTCTGCTTCCGCTTCACCTTCCAGTGGGTCGAGAGACCACTCTCCCGCATCCTCTGCGTCCACTTCCACCTCCATTGCCTTCACCTCCGCCTCTGAATCTGGCTCTGTCTCCACTGGCTCCTCTTCCATAGTCCTCACGGCACCGTTCACTTCGACGCTGTGTGGTTCCAGAGAGCCATTATGCTCCAGCTTGATAGCTACGGCAGTAGCGTTACTGTTAGTCAGCTGCTGAATGGTCTTCTCGAGGATCGAGCGGTTCTTCTCTAGATTGTCTAGACGCGAAGTCAGAGCTAGACGGCGATCCGGCACCACTGCCATCAAATTGTAGCGTACTTCTTGCTACAAAATTGTAAGAAATCTCTTCAATCTTTTTCAGATTTAACATAATATCAACCATAGCTTAACAATTGTAGGTTGAAATAAAAAAAGAACAGAGGCAATTAGCTCACGTTCATACCTGCCTCCAGGGTAGATAGCTTTTAGCGTTATTAACTCTGATAAGGCAAGATTTGTAATTAAGGTAATGACGAATCTGACTTCTAGTCGAAAAGCTCATTGAAACAAATCAGATAAGAAACACTTTGGCACTGAACCAAGAAGCAGAATAGTTTAATTTGCCAGCAAAAACAGGGTTGCCAGCTTAACAAACCCGGCAACCTTATTCACAGATTGCCAAACAACGAGGAGAAATCGTTTTGTGTGTAACAGTCAGGTTCATTCTTTGGGCCAATTTACGAGTCTAGTCCATGCAAGATGCTTCGCTATCATAGGCTACTCAAATAGCATCACCATGTCATCCAGGTTCAATTAAATGGCTAGTAATGTTGGAGATGATATCTCAGTTGTGCATCTCCTATCTTTCGAGGTTAGATCTCCAGTTCATGTAGTCAAGTAATACCCTTTTAACCGCATCTTAAATTATATAAGCCCTTCAATTTTTACACCTGGTTGAACGTATGATCCTCCAGCCACGTCAGAAGCCTCTCGGGCCTTCTGTGAGTAAATAACAAGCCCTCTTCCATAGTGGCACGGTCTATTACAACTTGGAGACACACTGCAACCAGCCTCCAAGCTTTCATGCCAATCATGGACTTGCGAATTCCGCGACGGCTTTCAAAACAGTTTGAGCGCCGCAGTTCCACATCAATGGTGACAGTGACCTTCAAAAGTGTCAAGAGTGAAATCAGATACTCATTACACCAAAAAATACCATTGACAGGACAATAATGATTCAAATTTGCAAGGTAGACGAATTTTAGCCCCCCTAGTTGCAAAAGTAGATAGTCTAGACTAGCCACTATCGTTTTTGCCTACCAACAAATCAAATGACTTCTTTCAATAAGTAGCTTGGAGATTTTGTTTGAACAAGGACTATCACTGGCTGCCAAATCTTTTTCAGTGATGTTTGAATTCACAAGAAATCGGTTGCAAAGTACAAACGGTAGGTGTTGCATGCCTTAGTGTTTTTCGAAACTTCCCACGTTTGTGTTTAAGTCATTAATGGTTTTATTACTGAGCTAGATTCGTAGGGCCGCCATTACAGTCAAATGGCGCTCGTTTCGCTGCCGCTGCCGTTGTTTGTCTCTAAGGCTGGTCGTTCATCTGGCTAGCCACGACGAACCCGTCACGACGCGGTTCCCCACTTGTTTTACTGCGTGGTGTCACTGCTCTGCCGCTGAACCCGACGGTACTAAAAGTGACAGCGACCCCACGCACATACATTCCTATCATCAGAGTCTGATCAAAGAAACAATTTTAAATGAAAAAGGAGGTCAAATTGATAAACACAAGCACTTCATAATAAAAAAGTGAGTGGAGTGGCGATGATATTTCGAAGGTGCTTCGACGCCTATGGAGTGAAAAACGTGAAAACGAAAAGAGGCTGTATGCAAGTCGATGACGCAACCAAGGAAGCTCCCGCGACTTTTGTCTGTGAGAATCAAAGAACTACGGAAAATCCTACAATCCTTTACTCCCTACAGAAATTGCCATTGCTATTTACAGTCTAGCAGGACATCCTCCCACAACAACGCACAAGTTGCCCACCAATTTACCTTTTAAATAACTATTTTTACTCAAAAAAGAGAAAGCCCACCTTCACATTTACCTCCGCCTACCTCCATTACTACCTTATTCTTACTTATCAAAACCCCTCAACTCTTCACATGATTACCTAGTGCTAATGCAAAGAAAAGGTCACCCTCATCACCTAGAGAAATACATCACCGTTCTCAGCCTCAAGCGCCTCATCAGGTTTTCTCACAACTAATTACTGCTACAAGCAACGATGTGAGAATAAGCAGATGACCATACCCCTGGCAAGACCAATTAAGGGGACGCCCTCTCTACCGATTCACCTCACTAATCCAAGTTAAGGCTGCTCCCGCAAGTACAGGGTTTGAGGAGTACTTGCATGCCCTCCAATTATACCTCTTTGGATCGCGCAGCCAGATTTCAGCCGTAATTTTTATCCAGTCTCGCCCAAGAATACGAACAAATCCCAGTGAAAAGGTGAGTCTACGGACCACCGCACACACACAAAGCAAGCAGTCTCCTGGGTGAGTAGTGGGTGCATCATCTGGGGGTAAAAAACATTACAACACAAAGCCAAACAAAAGCACAAACCCATTCCTCACCACAAGTTCGGTAGTCAGTCGCTCAGTTGAAGGTCAGCAAGTCATCAAGTCGGCAAATATCCTAATGTGTGCTGCACCTTTTACGGTCCCTGTGGAGGAAGTGAAGAACAGATTGACAGTCCGCCGGGCCTATCGTCACCTGATGTTAATACACCTGGGGCGAACCCGTTTGCCTAGCTGCTTCCTCCACGACTTTCCCATCCTATTTGCAGACAAATGATTGTCTCGACACTTACGTTGAGCATGAATGACAGTTGTGCCTTGAAATCCCAGTCTTCATTTATCTTTATATGCCAACAGCGACACGTGATTCCGCATTACTTTCATGAAGTGATCCTTAGACGGTGCGTTCTCCTGCCACACCTTCCATAAGTGCTATGCAAAAAGTTGGCAAGACGCCCTTACAGGTGTGAAATCAAGTTTGACCCGGGACGTAAAGCAGACAAGTTTGCACCACAAGTGTCGGGATTGGAACGAAAGAACGGGGAGCATAGTGGAGGGCATAGCGCAGACTAGCGCACTGGCAAACTGACACGAACTCGATGTTTTGTAACGCATGAATATGAACAAAGACAATGAATTTCACAGGTCTCTGGAGGTTGCCTCAGGTCATTGCAGCAAGGTAAAATTGGAAATCAACCTAACTCATTTGATCACTCGGTATTTGTGAGGTAGTTTTAAACCAGGATTTAACACCCACCACACGAATCTCAGCTGCACGACTTCCGGCTATTCCTAAATTGTGCAATAAACCTACCTCCAAGTTTGCATAGTATGACAGAGAAATAACAATGTATCAGGACTGGAATTGCCGGTTAGAAGAGGACTTCTCGAGTTGTCAACTGTGTGTTCATTTCATTCGACTCAGTCACAGTCAATTCAGCGCTACTTCTGCAGTATATCAATGTAAAAAAATGTCAGTTGAATGTCAAGCCTCCAAATTCGTACTTGCGGAAATCCACTTGACACCTCGCAATGTCTGGAAAACCAGAGTGCTTCTCTAATCAGCTGAAGTGATGTGCTTGTGAGCGGAAATGACTACTGGCTTTTGAAACCTCTCCATGTTACAGGCATTGCACATTCCCAGTTATCACTAAAAGAGTAATTTTCTATCCACTCAATTTGGAAGCCTCACTGTCTACATCCTTAATTCATTTAACAGAATCCACTCAACTCAGTCGATTTATCTCAGTATCAAGCGTTGCCACTGTTAGTTGAAGGTGTATATATTGCTTTCGGTTAAGTTGCTGATATGTTTGACACATCTCCAAGATCAAGATCATTCACTAGTGTAGAAGTTCTCAAGCCGCTGACGTACTGTCGTACTTATTCCATCAGCCTCATCATTAATAGATGGTTGGAAGATACAAAATAGGAATTTTTGACTGAGTAGCAATCACTTTTACATCAAAAAGTCAGTTAAATTTACCATTCATTCGTCAAAATGTTCTTTTAATTTAATTGGTGTCGATCGCAAGCTAAATCTCAACCTTCTGGGTCACAGAAACGTAATATTTCGCATATGAGGGAACAAGAACTAGGGAGCAAAAGGTGACCAGCACTTTTTTACCCTCTGAAAAAATAAAATACCTCTCTAGTTGACCAACTTGACACATTTAAGAGGGGGGATTGGTAAAATTTACACTTCTACAATTTGATTTTACATACGAGACACATTCCCAGTCGTCAGGGCAGACACGAGGTTACTTATGCATTAGTCTTATTCGTGAAAACAATAATGTTGGAAGGAAATCGCATCAAGGCTCTTCCATGTGTATCCCTCCTCTTCCAACTATCTACATTCTTTATCGCCCTGCCAATATACTTCGAGTAGTGGAGTGGTGTGCTGGAGATATTCGGTAATTTCAAAGCTAGCGCTACAGAACCCTTTCAAGCCATCCAAAGTGGTCTCCCCTGTGTCAGAGCTGCGTCATCAGCAATGCTGTAATCGTCTACTGGGACAGAATCGCTGAAGCTACAGACTATCATATCATTTGGTCACCGTGAAGGAATCAACTTATCACCCTGATTTGCGCATTCATTTTATACGGTAGAGCGTGAATGCTGAAAATAATAATGTGCGTTTAAGTATTCGCTCCCAACCTCTCGCTAAAAGCGTCAACAAACCTACTGTACCGCTCTTTCCATTACACATCGCCGTCAGCCAAACAAACATTTAGTTGCCTGACATTTTAATCTATCTGCATTGCTTCGTTTTAACCGATGTTAACTCAAAAACAGGGTTAAACAGATAACCTAGTCACACAAAGGTTTCAAAACATTCAAGAGTCAGATAAAAGGATTCAACAATGAATAAATATCACGCGTAAACCCACTACAATGCAATTGTGAATTCACACCTACCAACGAACCTACGATGGAAAATAACACATTATCGAACGGCATATTAGACATTTCCCTACCCACCTAACACCGAAAAGCATCCAAAGCCGACCTTAGCACCTTCGGTAGGTGAAGCGGTGGAGCCACATCAGAAAACAGGTTTCTGACAGAACCGATGATCTTCCTACTCAACCATTATGGGGGGAGGAGGAGGAGGACCGTGGATACAAGTCCACCAGAACACACTTCAACCTATCAAAGAAAGCGACACTATTTCCGAGTCAGCTTTCGTTTCCAACGTTGTTTAGCCCTGATTTGTTGATACTTTTTCGGCACTTAGAGGAGTGGACAAAGTTCATCAATCACCCTGCTGCACTGCAACACATCGCAGTGACAAATCGCACCAACAAGGGTGTTCAAAGGCATCGCAGAGTACGTGGCAATTAAAAATAAAAAAGAAGCGTTTTTTCCCCACTTTTCACAAAAAATAAGGAACCCACTCACCCACACACGCATGCGCATGAATTGCCAGTTGAAACAAATTTAATTGCTTAGGGGAATAAGAAAAAAAAACATTCTCAAAAAGCTCAAATTTACTTAGCAAGGAATAACATAGTAAGACATAGGAAGAAAATAGTGGAGCGCACCGATTACCGGGAATTCGACTGCTACACCGAAACTTATAACAACAGATCGAAAGAAAACAGCTTTTGAAGGATCTCAAATATTGATGCTAACTGGCTCCTGATTCTTTGAAAGAAGTGGCTTCATCACAGCCGGGACAGAGGAAGGCAGTCAAGTAGGAGTAAAGAAAGCGCGCCTCAAATACGCGTTTTTAAATCTACCCACGTAAATAAACTAAAAACGCCTTAAAAAAAAACTGAAAACTCACATCACGCATCCGCTGCTTCAGCAGATCCAAGCACTGTCGGGTCCAGCCAACATGCGCGATGGGATCCTCCAGAGGGCCATGATTAATTGGCTCCTGTTTCAAGCCATCCAACTCGTAGAGGAAGCGTCCCACAGGCAGGAAGCAGACAAAGTGGAATGTGTCCCCAGCTCCCACTCCAACTCCCCCACCAATACCACAACTAACTCCCACCGCCTCCTCCCCAGCAACCGTTTCACCACCACCGCCACCACCATTCTCGCCCTCTGACAGCGCGGCTCGCTGCGCCGCCTCAACAGCGCACTGAACGACGCGAGCCGAGGTGATCTCATCGCAGGCCGGCGGGAGGCAGGGCGGTGAGTGGGAAGTCTGTTGACGCGCATGTCGATTGTGTGCCTCCATGAGAGGCGGCATGAAACCAATAGCAAGACCTCGGAGACTCGGTGGAAGAGGCTGGGTGGCACGACGGAATTCTCGGAGAAGGGGACCGAGATCCACGCTCTGGTGCGAGGTGTTCATGAGGATAGAGAGAAGGGAGTGCGTGGCGCAAGAGTTTGGCACCACCTGGTGCGCAAAAAAGATCTCTTCGGAGTCGCCTGGGTCCACTTCGGGCTTCAATTTTCGGCGCTCTGAAGAGGTAGAGGGGGGACGACCGCCGTTGTTGAGACCTTGATGGAGGGAGGTGGCCGATGTAGAGATTTCACCGAGTGTGGGGTTGTTAGAGGCGAGAGGCGTATCAGCGCCAGTAGAGGAAGCTTGTGATGCATTAAGCGAAGCTCCACCTCCACGCGAACTTCGTCGGGAGTTGTGCTAAGCAGATGGGTAGCGATATATTGAATTGGGAACAACTATGAGCAAGAATTTAGAGCGCAGAAGCAGCAGTAGAGAAAATGATGCAATTTATGACCTTCAAAATATAAAATAATCCGAAGTCACAGCCATACAGACAGTAAAATAAGCATGGGGAAAAATAGGGAGAGAGATATGGGGGTGACCCACCTTTTTCTCGTTCTGCTGCCAGCGGAAAAGGAAAATGAAACCAAAGACAGGATCGGAGGGGACCTTCGAGAGCTCGTAAATCTCATCAACTTGGACGCCCGTCACACCCAGATCTTCCACAAGGAGGGTGAACAGGCCAGGATCGCTCTCCAGTTCAAGCCACTCCTCTTGACCCATACCAAACCTAATTAGAAAAAACAACGAAAACGAACTCATTTAAAACTTCTCTAAAATTCGGAAGATATGTTGTTAGTCCAGTATGTTTAACGAGAAGAGTGGAAAGGATGGCAGCGACAGTGCTACTTTGCAGGATTCATTAAATTCGAAATATCCGATAACTACATATATTTTCACCATCAACAAACACCCCATAAGGTCGTTACTGTAACCAAAAACAAAATTTTCAAATTCATTTAGACCTAAGATGTCGAAACACGAGTGACTATGCCACTGAGAAATTCTGTAATAGTAGAAAAAGAGAAGTGGAAACAACGAGTCAATCAGGCCCTACAAGCACGAGTAAAAAAATATCTCTCGTATAACCTGTACCAAATAACTAAAAAAGCATGACCATACTATATCGCAATGATAAACATGAGTGTGAAAAGAAATGAATATAGGTAAACAGTGAGACGTGCACCGCGAGGTAGAAACCACAACAAGAAAGCACATTTATAGTCATACTCGAAATAAGTTTACGCATAATTAAGGTTACAAAGGCAAACTTACTGAAACTTATCTGAGGGATAAGCCTAGCCGCAAACAGCAACAAATAAGCCAGGCCAGATTTGAGCGCAGCGGGAATGGGTTAACTTATATAAAACCTTCCTAATTCAATAGAGGAAGCTGTGTGGTACAAAATATCGAAAAAATTGTTGCCATCTTTTGCTCAATTAAGACTGCAAAAATCAGAAGATCACTTTGCTCCTATAACTGCTAACTCAGGGTTTAAAATCATAAGCCAAATAAAAATCAAAATGCAGTTTGTCACCTCCTCTTGACCCAAATTTTAAAAAAAGAGAAATTATCTTATGCAGTGTCAAAGGCTTTTCTACGTGATTACTGTTTCTGCACTGCTTCTTCCTTTGACAAATTGGATTCTAAATGTTAATGGGAGAAATTATGTCAGCAATGTTGGGAAGGCAGGACATACTATTTTTGATGCAAATAAGAAGCACTACCTTTAATTTGTGCCTCTTCCCTTTTCCTGATTGCAAAATCTTAACTAAATACTTAAAAGAGCATGCACTATTAACGGCCAGAAAAGCCGGTTGGCTACTAGCATGGACTGTAGGCCACGTCGTGGGGTGGAGGTCCGATCCACCCAGACTCGGGAACCCAGTTAGCGAAACCAGCAGTAAACTACCGCAAATAACCCATACTTGGGAGACCGATGCAGTTAGAACCACAGGATTCTCCTATACCCCAATCCAACTGTTAGAATTTACTTCAACTGTCTTCTACCTGTCCCATAACACGACTTGAACATTCCCGCAGGCTTTAACCTGTGACGTTCTCTGCATCTTAAGCACAGGCACAACTTGGATACATAACACCTTGCCATAAATCTTCCCGCTGGAATTTAAATGCTTTTATTCGGACTGTCGTGATTCGGTTCTACCTTAGAAGAAATCGCCATGGTGTAATCCATGAATTGCGGGAAAAACTTCGTGCTAAAGGATTTTAAGTCAGGCGCCACCGAAAACTTTTACTATATACTCACTTTTCAATTAGGCTGCTCATGCTTGTCGATCTTGATGATACGTCTAAAGATTAAAAAAAGGCTGCTCCAAATGTGATCATGAGGTTGGTAAGTATGAATTAATGTATTCATGATAGGCATAAGTGTGGATGTACGCATATGATAAAGAGATTTTGAAAGAATTAGTTAGCAGAGGCAGTAAAAATTCAATTTTTCCATGCATCTTTAATCACGATTGACAGCATTAACAATCTAAATGTGTGGAAGAAATTTTGAGCAGTAGATGGGAAGCAAAAAAATCATTATCTACCACCCGCAACTAAAAAGAGTCAACATTGTGCCTAAATCAGAATTAAGAGTCTTAAATGGAAATCGTCCAACAAAATGTGTACCTAGATATACTTCGCATTAGTCTAGTTTCTTCCAGTAGCATTAGGAGTTAAAGAATTTACCTTTTTGTAGAGCAATTGAAATAGCTCTGTTTAAAGCTCTCCTATGTTTTCTGATCAACTGGGAATTCGCACTGCTTTGGCTTTAAAACAACTTTTGTTTATCCGCACCAGATGCATGTAACCAAATATTCGCCAAGTTCCCCCAATTCTCTTTAACGTCATTGATCTAAACAAGCTTGTCACTGCGTTTTTGTAAAATTTTTACTAACACGAAGTTAACTTAGGCGATTTTCTTTTGTTCTTGGACAAAAGCCGATGAATCACACACCGAAACTCTCATGTCAAGTTTTAGTGCGAATTTAATTATTTCTCTAACAGATTTTTAAAGTTTATAGCAACTTAGGTGGATTCATACGAAATTTGTCGCCTAATACTTCGTTTTTGACTAAAAAAATGTCTTTCATTAAAGTTGTTGAATTTAATTGCGCGTGCTACAAACCTCGCTCCTTGTGTTCACTTTCTTCTGCGCACTTTGCAAGTTGGATTTCCCATTCATGCCATTTTTATTCAGTTTATGATGTTTGTAAAGGTTTTCATACTTTACACATAACATATTTGGCATATCTCTTCCCTTAGCGAGTTATCCTAGGTGTTTTTTGGACACAAGCTGGTAAGACCTTTTTCATTCTTGTATAATGTATTTCTTGCTATCACAAATATGTTTCCCACTTTTTTTGCATTATTCTTTTACTGACTGCCCTCATATCCCGCTGTGCATTCCTCTGCTCTGATTTTTGTCAGTGTGTTTGATACTTCTGCGACGTTTAGATTAGCCTAGTTATTCATTCTAGCATATATGAAACTCAAACATTTGTGCAGAAACGCTGCATCAATATATGCAGCGTAAACGGCATATCCTTTCACTTCTAGGTGACACTCCGGCGTCATTACTTAAATTACTAAATACCCTGCCCTTATAACCTCCTTTAGACTAAAGATGACCTCCCGTGTAACAAAACTGGGTAAAAAGGTCAAAGCAGCAGTGGACTCGGTCAGACATCCTCCCTTCATAAAAATGTATATCCCAGCACAGCAAGCAAAACCTGCTCCCCCTCTTGGCCCACAGTTGGGGAAGGTAGGCCTTTCTTCCCCCTTTTACTTCCATCTAGCGCAATATCAATATCGCCAATTTTTGCAAGGACTTCAACGAACGTACCAAACACATCAAACCTGGAGTTCCTATCCCCTGCACCATCATAGTTAATGTAAACCATTACCATTGCCTTTCAGACCATACGTTTTTAGCCTGACAGGAGCTATCAGCTACAAATATCGCATCCTCCCTCCCAATTCCTCCTTCGCATGGCTGCTGGCACCAAAAAGGGCGCTGCTACCCCAGGCTAGTTCAGAGAAATCTAAGTGTATTGCAGGAAAAATGTGCTTGTCATTGCTTTTATTCATCTTCTTCCTCTCCTCCTGAATCATCTTTTTCCTCGTCAGATTCTTCTGTTTCTGATTCTTCTGATTCCTCAACTTCCCCCTCCCCTTCGTAAGCGTTCCTAGTTGTAGACGTCTCTGTTGATGCAATTTTATCAGTGCTTCCTTTACTTGACTCGTCTTCTACCCATTCCTCCCCATTTCCTTTCTCTTCTTCTTCTTCTTCTTCTTCTTCTTCTTCTTCTTCCTCCTCCTCCTCCTCCTCCTCTTCTTCTTCTTCTTCCTCTTCGTCTGTCTTCTCTTCCTTCTTCTTCTTCCTAATTCCCTCTGTCGACTTTAATTTCCACACAGTTGGAGCAGCACCCAGCTCAAATTTTTTGTGTTTTATCAGGCCCGTCATGAGTATCCGTTTGGCTGATTCGTTGAGCTTTGTCATTAGCCACACGTGTCGAAAGAAACCCGCACCGGGCAGCAGTTGTCTAAGTCGCCTCACACAGCACATTTGTAGTGACTGTTGATCTTGGTGAGGCAGACTGTCCACCTTCAGAATCCCACCCAGTTTCTCAATCGCCTCCTTAAACTCCTCCCATTTTCGCCCAGCCAGGTTGAATACCGCGATGAACAGGCTCTTCCTCGCTCGACTGTCACAACCCTCCCGAAGGCTCAGTTGTAACAACGCGTTCACGTAGTTAGCCAACACTTCCTTCACTTGCATATCTACTCCATGGAAGATGAGGAGCTGTAGGAAGTAAATGAAATGCGTGTTAGTATTCTTGGTCTGCCGACAGGCTGCCATTACTTTCTCAAAATCCACCCTTGCCGCTAGCTTGCGCGCATCGCAACCGGCGATAAAAAGCTCTGATGAGCAGTCCACCATGGTCATAGGGCTTCGAAATTCTCGCCAGATGCACCACAGCGCCTCCCAGGCGTTATCTACCATCGTGGTGCTTTTTGAGACCACGCGTTTGCGCTGGTAAATGCTACAACTGAGTCGCTGTTCCTTGTTAAAGCTAATATGGGTAGGAGAAGTGGCGGCATCGAGCAGCCTGGAGTAGAGTTGAGCATTGGGTCTGCGGACGAGGAGGGCCGAGAACTCGAGGAGGCGGTAGGAGTAGAACCAGATACCTTGGGGATCTAGACAGTCCGCAGTGAAACAGGACGTCTGGATGCTAGCACCGGTTTTGTCTTGGAGAAGGAAGGTGAGGACACGTAGGCTGTTGAAGAGCATGGCGTAAGCGAGGGGAGTGAGGAGGAGGATAGTGGGACTGTGAAGGATACCGTCGAAGAGGCACAGGGCTTTATTCTCATCCACTGTGTAGAAGAGAGCAGTGGCCATACAGGGCGTTCGGCGGATCACACCTTCAACGTATTCCACGCAGTCGCGGCGGATTGCCGTGATGAAGGGCATGTTAATGATGTACGGGGGCAGTTCGAGATTACACATGCTTGGGCAGGAGTGCCTTGCAAAGCATCGATTAGCACTGCTGGAGGTTGCTTTGCGTAATTTGAATCCTCTCTTTCTCTACTCTGCCTAGGTGCATCGATTAAAGTCTAATTTACTGTCTTGAGACTGGAAAGCTCCATATTTTTTCAAACAAAAGCCACTTTTAGTCGAACTGGCGTTTCATCTTATGTATTATATGGTGTTAATTTTTACAGTTGTGAAGACATTTTTAACGGTGTTAAAATGGACATCCGCTAGACGTTGGCCTGTATTTGTTTGATGCCTAAGGTGTCTTCCTTGAGGGGAAGCATTTCTCTCTAGATCTCTTAATGCTTCTGTGGTTCTGTATATGACGTGATGTCTCTTTTTGTTGAGAGATCTCGGCACCGTACCTCACTTAAAGTGTTTTTCTTTTTCGGAATAGATTCATCGTCATCTTGCATTCCCTGTATGATGCACTGTTTTACATCAACTTTCGTAGCGCAGTTTCGCCTTGTGTTAGCTTGCTGATGCAACGAGGGGAGTTTGTTTGGGTCAATTTGTCGGCATACAATTGAAGAGTCCATCACTCGAACTATTTCTATCTACGACAAATTTTGGCTATTTAGTCACAGGCTTCATCGGTTGTCTCGTCCAAAAGGTCACGATGGGCATTTTTCTGTCCGTTTACAAATTACCTTATCCATTTTCTCTGAAAGTAATTAATCTACGATTTGGCCATCCATATCGGATTCGTTCCTCCTGTCATTTTTCGGTTACTCATTCATGAATCCACCCATCTCCCCTAAATTCGATTCGGGCCTGTCTACTCATCTACTCCCTCCTTTTTGCCAAACCCATTTAACCATTTGGTGGACAAACTTAATGACCACACTCAAGGCAGCCTGTCCGAGTAAGGACAGAAACAGCAAGCGATCATTAGCACAGGGGTTAAAATTATCAACCTCACCGCTCAAATTCATTGTGTTTCAGGCACGGAGGTTTCTGGTCAATTGACACTGAAGCATATATATGAGATTGCGGTGTTGAAGAGCGAGGACGCGGCGCTGCGCACGACTTCGTTGCAGGCGATCTGCGCCAGCCTGATCGCGGAGGCGCATCGCATGGGCATCGAGGTACTCTCGCGTGAAGAGGAAGCGGCGGTTCGCAAAGACCCCGATTCAGCTGCCAGCGCTTACGCCGAATTTCTGCGCCGACGTGATGAGGAAGTGGCACAGCGGAAGAAAGCTCTGGAGGAGAAGAAACAAGCCAAGATGATGCGTGTCTCATAGACTGCGGTAGATGCTCTGATGAGCGCTTTCTGTGTATATAAATTTGCTATGGTAGGAAAGGGGGAGTGGGGACTACATGCTGTCTCGCTTGTATTAACTTCAATTTGATTGTTGGGCGTGGGAGCTGGAGGTGATCCACGCGCTGACATCTAGGCTGCAACCACCGCTATCTGCTTGGGCGCGCGAGAAGGTAGCGGTGGGGGGTTGTACATTGGCGGATTAGCGCGTTCCCCTGCCTCGGAGCCCCCGCTGGAGCAATCTGTCGACTGGGCTGCTGGTGTCCACCTCAGAGTGATTGTGGTGCGTGATCGGGTGGGTGGCTGCGGAGTTCTCCAAGGCATTACATGGTTTCGTAGGACAAGTCTGTTAACCTTCAAGTAACGGCTGTGAGATGTGGGCGCGTGCCCAGCACCCATTATTTTCATTGGTAATAGCATTTATTTGAAAGTGGCCGTTGTGGTTGTTCACTCGTTTTATAGGGGGGAAGGGCATTAAGTTCCAGATAGAAAGAAATAGCTAGAGTTTTTTGACCAAACGTGAGTGCGGTATGATTTGTGTCTTCAGTTGAAGAGATACAAAGTCAAGTCTGGTCTCCTCTTAGTAATTAAATATGTGAAAGTTACATGGCGAAGCCTGAACACAGGAAATTCAACTGATTGTTTCAACTTATGAATAGCCAGCAAACTGCGGTACTTAGTGCAATAATTAAATTAAAAATGGTTTAGAAATTTGAACTCACCAAAATACTTTCCATCAAATCCCGTCTTGAACAATGACATTTGCCACAAACAATTCATAACTTTCGGAATCTTTCAAAAGGTACCCAATTAAATGCTTTTTTGATAAAACAGAAATCCCCAAATATCCAGCATCTAGAAGCTACTGATAGTGATGCTGTCGTTTTACTGGTTCTTATTCAGATGGAACTAGTCTGCACCAGAGGCGCCGCTGGTTTGGTAGTGTACCGTCAGCTTTACGACATGGGTCTTCGTTGGAAGAAGAAGAAAAAACATAGGCCGGGCGGGAAAAGACTAACAATGCAGCCGGTAGTGCCGAAGGGTCCCGAAAATACAACTGTAGGTGGGCGGCAATATCTTTTTACGTAATGCGGATTCAGGCTTGCAGTATCTTCGTGATAACATCTTCCCTGAAGGTCCCGTTGCTCTAGACTGTGAAATGGTCGGGGTCGGCGACGACTACAGAAGTGCTTTAGCCAGGGTCAGCATTGTCGCCCACGATGGTACCGTTCTCTACGACGTCATAAGCCGTCCCGAGGAGGCCATAACCGATTACCGAACCCGTTGGAGCGGAATACGCCCCTCCGACATGGAGAGAGCCATCCCCTTCGAGTCGGTAAGGGAGCAGGTTCTGAGAATTATCGCAGTACGTTTTCCACCCCCAAGATCTTATTACCCAATTACCCACGTTATTGGAGCCCATGTCCTATTTACAGAATCGTACCGTAGTTGGACACGCAATATACAATGACTTTGGCGTTCTTAAAATTGAGTACCCGCAAGAGCTAATTCGGGATATCGCCACCTCTCCTTACGCGAAAGCTAAAGCCCGAATACCAATAAAAGGACCTGCGGCTCTTCGCCACCTGGCCTACGTTTTACTCGGTCTGCGAATTCAATGCAAGGAGCACAGCTCCATCGAGGACGCTCAAGCGACTATGGCCATCTATCGGTTGGTAGAAAAGGAGTGGGAGGCTGATTTAAGAAAGAAGGCAGCTAAACGATTGCGCAATATAAAAACGGACACTGCTGACGCCAACACTGAAAGCAAGAGCTTCCCTTTACCCTTCAGCTCCAAAGTCAATGATTCCGCACTGCTCTCTGACGATGAGTACTGGACAGCGGTCGAAGAAAACGATTCCTCTGCCTGACTTTTGGAGGGTATACATCTTTTTATACATAGACATAGCAGACAAGACTCGCCTGCTTCGAATACAAAACTTCACAAAAGTCACGCATCACTCTGCTTTCTCAAACGGGTTTGAGATGGACTCCATTCCGTCAGCTGGGCAGACTAGTTCCACAGAAGGGCCACTAAAAAAGAATTTAATAGGTAATGGCCCCTATATCGCAATGAGACGTCTTGTTATGTTTGGGAATTTACCGACAGACGACCAGACCGAGTTCCCGAGTGTCCTCGGTGAGATGGGAAGGGTCCGCAGGATCTCGGAGGTACTCGATTGTATTGTCGAGAACCATGTTCTGAAGGTTGTCGCAGCCCTTCAAGACGCCTGTAGCCTCTCGACCACCAGTAAATTTAACGCGAATGTGCTTGTCCAGGTAGCGCGTTAGGTCGATGATGGACTCCTTCTTGGGGCGTTTGGCCGGAGTCGGTTGTTGGTCGCCTGACATGATTGTCTATGTTGCGCAAGATCGGGTTCAGCTATATAGCTAGGTTAAAAGAAATGCCTTTAGGGGAATGGAATGGGTTAATTTGTCCGTTCCCGTGAAGATGCCGTGCTCAATGTACGCCGTTCGAAAGGACGTTTTCAAAACCAAGGATACGAAAATATATGTAGGGGAAATAGGATGCCAGAACATAACGGATCGGGTATGTAAGCATGTGGCTTGGTACCCCAAACTTTTATTTTCGATGATCTGCGAACTCATCCTTTAATAGTTACAGTGATATCTAAGAAAAGTTGTGAAAAAAATTGAAAATTGGGTTAAAAAAAACTACAAAATGGCAGCGGAGGGCATTAGCGCATTGCATAAAATACGGTATAAATAGAATCTTAATCCGCCATTACACCCTCCTCACAAGCATTTCAAACTAACAATGAGATAAATGTTGGCTACTAGCTACACACCACAACATTGTATATAGCAGCGAAGAAGGAGAAAAAAAGCTTCGACAAAGAACATTGAATACAATTAGGAGATGCGAATCAGGACCAGTGGTACTGGTGAGGTACAACTCACCGATCTGCGAAAATAAGAACCCGGCTGTCGTCTAGGTAAGGTTGGCTCTCCACCAAATATGCTGTAGAGGGAATAAGTCGAGGGTACATATCATTGAAAATTTAGCATCAAAAGTTTGGAATAACGACTGTAGAAACGGTAATATTGCATAAGAAAGCTAGGTGCAGTGTTAAATGAGTGCCTGTAGGGCAAGTAAAATTTTCTAAAGAGTAAAAAAAATCCCTTTTTGTATATGCCAAAGCAATCCCGTTAGACAATTTCCCTACTGAACATTTGCACCTACTATTAAATGCTTTAATTCTGGTACTAATTATAATATTTAGATAGACTTGGTTTTTAAGTCTAAGTGCTGCGCAAGCAGATAATATTACTTTCTCCTTTCTGATTATTTAGGTGTGTCTTACTGAATCATTTTTTCTTTCGCTGTTTAAAAGTGGCTTTTTGAAACGAATGGATTTAATTAAACCTCTAATTACTACTACCCTAAAAAAAACAAAGTAAGCTTAGTTAGTGCTTTGAAATGATTCGGACATTTTCTTCTATTTTACAACATCCTACCTCATCTGCAGAATAATTTGTTTTATTGTTTGGCCCTAGGTCATTATACCACAACCGTCAGTTTAATACTTGTTGATATTGCATGAATAGATTATCTTGCCTTTTCCCGTGCAAAGAGTCAAGAAGCGATGCAGATGTGTATTCAAGTTGTCTTGATAATCAATTATCAGAGGACAAGAAACGACAGTCGAGTACGTCAAGCATAGTCATTCTGGGTAATACAATTGACTAATTATTCGCCTAAAGGAAATGAGTTTTCCGGTCGAAATACGCTGATTAACCAAGTAAGGTAATTTTTCTAAAAGCAATTTAAGGAGTTAGACTAATGGCTCGTAATGACCTCCTTGATGTTTATCGCCTCTCTATTCGAGAACAATTTTTCACTAGTATTGTATTAAATCTTCTTTATCTTCTTCGTGAATTTGGAACATCTGGCTTAGATTTTGACAGTGACGAAACTTTTGTAATGTTTTGTACCCTTAATTATTCAATATTGCTAGGAGGATGCGAGGTTTATATTTCGTAATTCAGACCAAATGAAACGGGGGATTGTCTCACCAAAAGTGATATCTGCTCTGAGAAATATTTGGCATGATACACAGCTACAGACATTTATAAAGTCACATGTTAGTCAGTATGGTGTTGCAACCACCTAGTAAGTTCAGGATCTTTTGCTTATTTATAGTTTCTTTTCTGAGCTCGAACGCATGGTTCAAGTTCAATTTCTTCCCTCTAATGAAGATATTTTGCACATAAAATGTGGAAATCGTGGGATTGAGGAGGAAACCATCTCTCGTAATGACAGTTACTTCAGGTTCATTCTTGCAATTTATCGTTTTCTCTAACGCTTTATTCCAGTCAAGATAGTTGTTTCCTTTTACTACAGGTTTATCCGCGTTGCCATGACAAGATCTTCAATCCATAAATGGGTCCAGTTCTTTGAAGATGTAGATGCCATTATTTTTATATCATCTCTTCTCGATTACAGCTCTTATATGGATTTTAGTCCTAAAAAGGTTGGTTTGTATATGTTTTTAGGCCTTTGATATGAGTTAATTTCTCTAAAATAAGTTATTGGCTGCTTGCTAGTACTTCATTGAACAAAAAAGAGTAGTCTCCAGGACGTCTAAAGACGAACATTAAGATATTGCATTATATGAATGAATAAACATTGCTGTAATATTAGCATGTGATATCTGGAATTTGCCTAAACAATTGCCTTACTTTTTCAAACAAAGAAGTGAATTAGGCCACTTTCTGATTCAAGCTAAAGAAAGCAACTTTCTTTAGCAAAATTAATGCAATGAAAAACTTTCATTGGACTTGTTTACAGGATAAACGAGCAAATATTTAATTAGTGCTTGTAGACTTTCTAGTGAAACCGCTATATCCTATTGATTTCAATACGCTTGAAAATTATTTCAAAACTGGATTATAATCTTGAAAATTTCATCGAAAAGGCTTACCACAAAAAAACTCAAGGTGACTAATTTTTTGTCTTCTCACCCCTCTTTCCCTGTCTATCCAATTCGTCAGCGTACAGGAAGCCGATCAGAGATGATTAAACGCGGTAGACTCATCGGGCTACTAGCTTGAATAGTTGTTTAGGGCTCTAGAAATGCAGTGAAATTGTGCAAATGTGCTTGGATCTGTCACTTTTGTACTTATTGGCATGTAAATGAGTAGCTCTACTTGTGGAAGAGCTTAATATTAGATCACTAATCCAAGGTAAGTGAGAAAAAAATTGCAAATAAAAACTTGAGGCATAAATACGGTAATGATTACCAGCTCTGATGCAATTTGATAATTGTCATATGTCCATTTGTGTGGCTTTCATTCTCGTAGAACGGGCTATGTATCAGGTACATCTTATTATTCTGGCCAGTCTCACATTCTGTACCCCCACCAAGCCTATAAATCAAGGGTTTTTAAGGAGTTACTGGGCTTATTCATCCCTGAAGTGTGTGGAGTTACCGTGTCAGGAGAACCACGCAGGCTTATTCATGTCAAAGATGGGATGAAACACCCCTTCCTCCCAACGAATGAAACACTTAATCCAGAGGTATTTATCCTTAACACTTAAGATTATTTGATTCGAAATCTGTCACCATTCATCCTAGGTGAGACTTCGAGACGACATGGACTACTTTGCAGCCATCTGCAACGGCAACTGGTTCACCAAATGCACCACAGTCTTCCTCATCCTCAATAAATTTGATCTCTTTCAACAAAAATTGGCTACCCTTCCGCTGAAGACCTGTTTTCCTGAATACAGAGGTAACTTTTCTCCCTCTTTTATTTTTAAAAAGCAAAGGCCAAAATCCTTTTAACAAAGAGGAGCTAATGACAGTGCTATCTTGTTTTAGGGCCTAAGGATTTACTTAGGCTAGTTCGTTCTCCGCATTTTAGGCTAATGATAAAGTGAACTAACTTACTGGGGGATGGAGGTCTAATCCCACCCCTAGGCAGGCTATTTTCGGGGTATTATCCTGTCCTTAAAATAAGGATTACGCCACATTCTGTGGTGTGCTGCAAAGTTAAAAGAGGCCACGTAAGTGTTAAATTTTGGCCGCTGCCTGCAATGATGGTCTGTTGCAGCACCTCACGCAAATTCTATCCAACAAATTTGAGGGCAGTGAGCTTTTGGGTCTTAGAGAATCGAGCTTCTCTCGACTTAAAGAGTAGACAACCTCGGTCAGGCTCACCGACATCGTTTGACGTGTGGAAGGACACGATAAGGAGGACCGATAGACTGGCGCATGTCACGTCCCTGGAAGTCACAATAGCAAGTCATTGCAGAGGGCCGCTCAATAATTTTCGTGGCTCAAGGTGTGACATAAAGGTACAAAATAAATCTTACATCAAAGGATTGGAAAACTGGAAGCTTAAATTGCACATCTGTGTTGGGAGTGTCTCCTACTCCAAAAAGAACCTTCCCTGTTTCAATTTTCGAGGCATTTTTGCTTTCGAGTTCTACCTCTTGAACACACCCCAGAACATCTCAAATTTTGCGCTCTCGGTTAGTCACCCTAATGGGCCGCTCCGCGGCTCTGCCAATTATGTAGTGGTCACGTGTCGATAGTGAGGTCGTGATCTCTTTGATTATCCCAATTATGAACTCAGCGGGACCCGTACTCGCGCATATTGGCAGCTGTTTACAACACGATGACACCAGTGTGGGGGTCGATTCAAGGAAAACTGTGCTCCTCGTTCTCCATTAATCATGACAATAGCATTCAAGAGTGTCAGTACAATTGAACACCCATTTGCCATCACAGTAGGGCGATTCCCAACCACACACGTAGCGGTGAGACTTTTGCACTGTAATGAGCTCCTCTGTTAGCGTATTGCTGAAGGCTGGATGAAGTACTTTAGGCCTCCCCTAAGATGTTATCACGTACCTGAGTCCAGGTGGAGGAGGTTTGGCAATCTGACAAAGCAAATGCCACAACACCAACGTGGTGACTGAAACCTGTGAGGACTAAGTATTCTGCGCAGTTCTGTGAGCGGCTGCAGCAGGCATCCTGTCACAGAAAAGGTGACTGAAAACAAAACCCCTTTAATTTAGTCCATATCGAAAGGTGACTGTGACGTTTTTCTTGCTCTCTCTCCTCTCCTCACTTAACTGTTGGCGATGGCCACAAAACCTTGCAAAATAAAATCGCGTCATCTAGTGAAATTTCCTTCAATACCTGCGGCTTCTTTTGCAGCAACTTTACTTAGAGAAAAATTTGACTTTATTTCTAAGGCCATCAACGTTAGAGAGCTTAGTATTTGACCGATGATTTGGCAAACACTTGATGTAACTGATGAAATCCACACGAAATGGGTCAATCTACCAGCGTTTCCGTTTCCGTTCTCATTGCTTCTCATCATCCTCCACAAATATGCATCACGTTGAGGAGGGGCCTCCTCTTTCAATAATGCCCTATTGTGCGTCACTGCTGACATGGTACTAGCCCTGAACACCCTTAAATCCTTTTTAAAGTGCCTGATAAAATTATTTATCGACATCCTCCTCAACTGGAAGGCAAAAGTCGAGAAAGCTTCAAAGCAAATGGTACTGTTTGATGGTTGATTGACTTATAGTGAGCGGTGGCTTTTATCCATTTTTATTACAACTTTCGTTATGCGAATGAATGGACCCTGGACTTGCCCCCAAACAATTCACCCCGCAGGCTGGAGACGATGTTTTTCGTCAGGCATTGTGAACGTGATAAAAGCCAAACAAAAGCTGCAACTTATCGAAACAAAAAAGAATTGTTACAACTCGAAGGTGGGCAAAAACCAGCTAGGACTGGCAAATAGGTGGGACAAAAGTCCTCTTCTCCCAAAACACTTCGCAGCTCATACCACCTCAAAGCTTACCCGTGGGACAACCTCATACTGCATTGGGGGATGGGGTGAAGGGGGGTTGGTGGTGATGCAGCTTCACCTTAACCTCATCCTCATTCGCCGCATTCCTCTGATGTAATTCCTCCTAGTAATGGAGATCGTCTTCCTTTTGGCAATGGTGTCAGACAACCACGGAATAAATTAGACAGTTTAATAACAAGAGTGAAGTAGAATCGGAGGTGCTTTATAAGATAGGAATTTCGCAGTTGCCTTGTGTCTCGTCGGAAAGGAACTAAAGATTTTGAAGTCGCCCGATGACTAGTTGGATTATTGGAATGGGCAAGATGTTCAGCAAGACGAGAGATGCAGTACATGAGCTCGCCTGAGGAGCCTCTGCGATCACCTCGACCTGACTTGTTGGTTGCCTTTGCAACACGGGTGAGGGAATATGCCAAATTTCTACATGACCTACTTAGAAACGGAGGTAAAAGCCTTCTGTCTGATGTCAAGAGAGAGTGTTATTTTGGCTTAAAGAGATCCCATTGGAGGAATGGGGAGGAGGAGATGGACTAGTCATTATCCCCCTCCCACGGGTGTTGACTTGCGATGATAAGATCTGTTTCCGATTTGTTTAATGGTCCTGGCTTTGAATTGAATGGACGCATGGATGAATACAGAATGGATGGATGTGTGGGCGGGTGGTGAATAGATGGAAGGATGAATACAGGATAGATGGGAGAATGAATGTGGGATGGATGAAAGCATAAATAGATAAATGGGTAAACGAAGTGTATTATTGCATGCCCTGGAGTTGGAACGACTTATATCTTACCGAGTAGGCAATTTTCCATCGCATTTGTTGATTTGCCTTTAGTACATGAAAAATCCTATCCTTCTTAAGACACTTACTTGTTAATAGTAAGAGGGTTTCCCGTTGTTTAAGAATAGGATGCCTTCCACACCTTTGAATGATTTGTCACCATTTCTGGGTGAGATTTTCCGCTCCTGCACCTTCTTTAGATGCCCAGCAACGGATTTGACGAGAAACTTTCGTAACTTTGATACTAAATCCAACTTATCTTGTAAAGCCGCCAGCCTCGAATCCTAGGCACTAGGTTCGTCAACTTGGCGCTTTATGAAATGAGGACTCAAAAGGTAGAACCCACAGTAAAGAGTAGCATATGGATGGAATACCACATTTCCTACAAAAAAGTCGTACACTTTGTCCACATCTCTCCAGGCTACTGCGGAAACCGCTTGAACCCTTTTTAGGGGATCCTCAAGTGGCAACCCACCCCTTTCTGCACCTGCTTATTTGGGAGGTAAGTTAGGAGTAAACCCCTCTAACGAAGGTTTTAAATAGTAAGGTCGGTGGAGGGAATGCAAGACCCGGTCAGATCTTAGAAGGGATCGTCCAGTACCGAAGTATACCTGCTGATGCATATCCAATCCGAAGGGCGGAGTTGTGAATTATTAATTGACCAGCATTACTTTGAGAGGGCAAAATAAACCCATGAAAAAATTAGGAATTTATGGCCTGATTTTTTGTTTCAAATTCCATAATAATCTCGTCTTTACCCATTCGCCTTTTCCATAAAGCTCATCTCTTCAAACACAGTGCTGGCCAATCAGTGAGGCTGTAAATTTGTGTGATTTTTAATTTCGGTACCATTTTTAACCAAATTAGTCGAACATACTTTGGAGTAAATAGATAAATTTGCCTATTTTTTAGGTTAAATTAAATTACGGATTGTATTTTGTCAACAAGGTTTCGTAGGGGCTAAATATCTTCAAAGGCCAAAGGCCTTCCAAAGTACTTTACAATTACTTTATTTTCCTTTTTCAAACTCAAGGAATGCAACTTCCCCTCTCTTATTAATTGCCGGTTGAAGGATAAAAACGTGGAGCCTGGGCGACAGATTCTAATTTGTTGATCACATGATGGAAGTATTTTGGGTCATCCTTTTATTTATTATTTGATTGAAAAGCTTAAAGTTGGGAGAGAAATCGGTTCTTCGTGTACTTATCCCTGCTTCCATGGCAAAAGGACGGACTACATTCACTTTTTACCCGATCGCAACATCTGATGTGATAATATGAATTCCCATATAAATACGAGGTGGGTGGATAACTAGATGGAAGAACAGGTAGACTGATGGATGCCTGCGATGGTGGATGGAAATGTCTGGGTGAAGTGATGGATAGATGGAAAAGGGGGTGATTAAGAAGTCGTGATGTATCTACTGCTTCAACTACGATCAAAAGGTGTTCTTAGAAACTTCATCAAATCCCTCGGACCTGGCCAGCCAGTTCAACCTCTAGCTGAAATGGCTGTAGAATCAGCAAAATAAATTGACTCAAATCTCTTTAATGCCAACAAATTTGACCTCTGGAGACATTCTTGGCAAGTGAAAATTTATTATTAACATAAAAGCGACGCATTTCTGCTCAAATTTGGGTGGAGTGTGACAGCTCTGCTCTCCGTTGAGAGTTGATGAATTGGACTGCTTGTCCAAATCGTAAATCCCCTCCGCAGTTTATCCACCCTCACTTATTGGTTTCATCACATTGCGTCAGCGTCTCAGCTGGATTCCCAGTTAAGACATTCTAGAACCAACTGTTTGGTAATGAAAGCAATGATTGAAGCCTTCTGTCCGGATCGAAAAGCCAAAACCGCGTTTTAGATAAACCGCTTCGCTGAACGCGTACATGCCTCATTAATTTTCACATTCCAATCTCTTGGCCATAAGTTATGGCACGCTCAACTTTGCTTCAAATGGGTTAGTTCTTTCAACTTTGCCTCTCTATCGCATGTCATCAGTCTGTAATTATTAGTTTTTTGTGAATGACAGCTGACCAAATGACAAGTCACTTTTTGAAATTAAGTTGTCCAGCCCACCTACCAGTTTGTCCCCACGAGGGATTTCTTGGTGTCGCTCATCACAGTCATCAGGAGCAACATCAGTACCTCCATAATCGCTGCCACCATCAAACTCATGAAGTTGGTCCGATAGCCAAAATACCACCAATCTGTCAATACGATGCTCGTGTCACTGTGACCCCCACCACTCCCCCTATTTTGAACCCTCCGTATCACAAAGTGGCGGCTGCTACTGTTTGGCATTATTTTAACCTGTCCGCTTTACCAACTCTGGCTTCAAGGCGATAGAAGCGAAATTCCTGTAAACTCAGTCGTGTCGGAGTTGAAGGGTAACGCGATTGCGGGATATTCCACTGAGAAAAGCCAAGAAGAACTTATATGCCTCTCACAAATTATTTTTTAAGCCTGAGTGTTCTAAATTAGACATTTTCTCATCAAATAATGCACATAAAGTCGACGGAACTGTGCGAAGTCGTCACTGAAAACGTGCACAAATCCAGCGTATTTTGATTTTGACGCTAGACAGCTCTTCTTGCCGCCCATGGACTCCTGAAACATTGAAAAGACAAATCAAACCCTCAACTAACGTTAAACAATTTTCATATCCTAGCTTTTGTTATCCAACGGAATGCAGTTCCTTCGAGACTATTAGTGTTTTTCTCACCGAAACAACTTCCGGTTACAAGAATTTAATCCAGATTGTTACCACCACAATTCCTTCTCTTTAACTTGGCCAAGAAGATGCCAAATTTATCTCCAAGTTGGTCATTCCTAACATTAGAATGTTCGCAAATACTTTAACTTTACCCTAATCATCATTCTGACACTTTGTGCCAAGAAGTGGAAGCTAGAAATCCTTCCAGCTTATTGATTTTCCCCTCAAAACCACACATAAATCGGCCATGTTTTGAATGTTAGCAAAAAGGTGTCCAATTCTTAAGGATTACTGACTTTTCTCCTTCCAGGGACCGGCGATGCAACTGAGGCTGCGAAATTCATCCAACAACGCTTTGAAGCCCTTAACAGATGCAAAACGAAGCGAGTGTTCACGCAGGTCATGTGTGTCCAATCAGACGTCGAGGCCATCCACCAACTTGTCGACAAGGTGATCCAACTCACCGCAAAGCCATCGTCGCCACAATCGAAAAAGTCTGGATAATTTTTTTATTCTATATGAAGCTAATTGGTGGTCAGATTCTATGGAATTATGGATGGTGATAACTCTCGAGGGTCAATTTTTATGGCAATAAGCATTAGAGAATGTGAGAGGGTAGTCGTAACATGAAGTGTTCGGAAAAATGATTGCCACTAGTCCCTTCATTTTGCTGGTTAAAAGTGGCAATATATAAAATATTCAGTTGGAAAAGGTTTGGCTAATGCCTTGAGCAAACAGCTATTTCAAAAGATCACTTCTTCTGAGGCTTGGCAATTGCAGAACTAGGAGACCCAAGTTGAGCTCAAGTGGACTTTTCTGGAGGTTGCCCAACCTCAAAGTAGGCGTGAATTAGCTTGGCAGGACATTGAAGCCTCCTGATGGGACTCCACTCCATGAATCACATGACATGGATGAATCAGTTAGCTTTACTTGGAGAGAAAAGAAGGTACACTTACGTGTCTAATCTCGTCTCAGTTTATACGCTTGTTTGAGTAAATTGGGAAGAGATTGTGCAATGACCCGACTCCATCAACCACCTCAATGTGTTGGCTTGGCATTGTATCCGTCGGAATACTTGAGAATTCCTCTCCAATGACATATAGTCTGGTTAAGATATTCGCTTTGTCTCTGCAACCCTGGATTGGTTTACTCTAGCCACCTCCGTTTCCACCTCACTTTTATTTTTAAAACTTTCTATTCTAATCGGGGAATACGAAGGATGGGGAAGAATCAGCACCGCCTTACCCCTTTTACAGGTGAGTTGCGTGGCGTCATGGGCTCCTACGTTGTGATGTCCTGCTAGGTTGACTTATTTAGGATTTGTTAAATGTTTCGGGTCACTTCTCCGGAAAGATTCCGTTACCATGTGCCTTTACGTTGAATCGATCCGCATCAGGTAGGTGGATCGCGAGTGAAATCGTATTCTGACCCACAAAAAGTGATCAGCAGTCCACGATGTGCCCATAAGGAGAAAAATTGTTTGGGATTGGAGTAGTGAGTGTTCACGAACGGCATGCGTGGATTAATAAGTAGATCCTTTGGAAATGCCCAATGGCATTGTTAATCGCTTGACAAGCATTGCTATCTCCATCCACATGGCAATCGGGTAGGAAATCAACGAGTTGTTTCAATGTTCTTAAATCAAGTGAAGAGCGACTTGACGGCTTTCGATGGTCGTTGTCATCTGTTAATGCCTGTGAGTGAGATCTATTTGTCTGGCTTCTGCGATGTTCATTTCCCAATGTTTTTGATGCAAACAAGCTGTTTCAACATTTGCAATTAATCTCGAAGTAATCACTCTTGATTAGGAATAGACGACCTTCCTGAACGTGAGGTGCCTGCTTTTGGGTGATTTGTCACCGCAACTAGAATGAAAATTCTGCCAGCGCACCATCTTCAAATGCTTCCCAGTTTCTGCAGTCCCGAAACCAAGTCAAATTCGGTGCATAAGGCAGGCAAGCTTGAATTGCCACCACCGGGTTCGAGCAAAATTTGTTGAAGTGAGGGCATACAAAGTAAGCGAGAGCAGAAAGGGTGCCATCACTCGTACACCAACACATTTTCCTCCACCATTCCAGATGGAATTATGCTTACATGACCATCTAAAGCTCAAAACTCCTTACATCTTGACATCTGGGATTAATTAGGACCATCTGTTCTCCAAACCGTAACTTCGCCATTTCTCTAAAGTCTTTTGTACGCATTAGCGCAGAAATTGCGCTTGACAGACGCGGCACCCGCGGAGGACAAATTTGTCCACGATTATTCAGGCTCTTAAACACGAGGCTCGCCAAGTGAACATGGAATAGACGTCAAACTGCAGAGCGAGTGAGACACATTAAATGCGCCACTTTACTAAGAGAAGTCAATTTATTTTAGCCCATTCTAAGACGTGCTACATCTACTGGAAATAATTTCCTTAATTAAAAAACAAAGAAATTTTCCAGGAAATTATCTGGAAATCCCGCAGTATACACCAATATCTGTCTAGCAAGTCAGCTGTTCCTACAGATTAGTGTAATATTGCCTCCTTTGAGGTGGAGGGGACCGTTAATCCTCCGCCCCAAACCACCACAAGGGTGGAGGAATAGCGTTTCCTCATAAATTGAGTGTCCCAGTCAAAAGATATGTGCCAAAACTGCAGTCACTTCCGGCAGGTTAAAATCCCAGGGAAGGAATAGAACTCTTGCGCAGAATCACCAGTAGCTTGTCAGAACTCCACTGATGTGACTAGCGCAGAGTGCTACGAAGCTTCCAATCTACCACAGCCACGATTGGGAGGAAATTTGAAAGGACTTTGGATGAATGGATGAATAGATGGATAAAAGATGGGAGGCTGCAGTTCAAAGGAAACAAGAGATCCATCGTCTAAATCTCCCTTAGATGTGATGACGAATTCCACCTACCTTTACTATTTCAACAGCATTGGGTTGCTCGAACCAAATCTGCAGAGCGCGGTACTATGTGTAAATGGCTGGATGGATAAATTCCAGAACATTTATTAAATGAGTGAGAACAGCTTGATAGAAGTGCATTCCATGATGTGTCGGGGGAGGAAAACGAGTAAATCAGGAAAGAATGTAATTTTTTCCGTGAACTTGAAAACCTGCACAGGAATGACGTGCTACCAAGCTTCGCTGGATCCAAATGCGCTACTGAAATGTTTAAGTAGCACACCTAAATATTTGCCCATGGGAATTCGATCAAGTGATAGGCTTGTAAGATTATAAATAAATGAATAATAAGTGACTTAGTGACTTATGTCCAAGGATAGCATTTTACTTTACGATGACAGGACGAGTGTCTGGCACAGGCAAGTGTGTTGCTTTGTCAGTTGCTTAGACCATTCACAACCATCTGCCCCACAACCTTGAAGCAGTAATCCCTAGTTTATACAAATCCGCATATCTTGTGTGCGATTGAGTGTGCACCCAAAGCGCTATCTATTGTCACACAAGCAAGAAATAATGTCTGGCCTTCCACAGTTCTTACCACATGATAGAAGACCGTTCCTTCCTTTTCGGTGCATTTCACCCACAAGCACTACACTTGCCATTCTGTTAAGCGTCACTTTTTAGTGTTTCCCAATAAACTGCAACATATCGTCCACTGACTCAAGCCATGTAAATTCTTTAGGTGAAATATCAAACCCGATACGATTAATCCTCGAAAATCGTTGCATTTTAACCTCCTGTCTGAGATCAAAATTCGCACTGGTACCTCACGTAGGTTTCCATTTTTAACCTAGAAGACGTTATTTTTTTCTGTAAAAAGACGGGTCTAATCTACCATCTGCAAGCGTCTCCTCATCCACCATCACCTACTTCCGGTAATCAGCAGGACTACTACTTTCAAATGGCAAAAGTAATTGCTGTAATTATTCCTAAATCAAAATGTGTTTCCTCTTTGGACCACCGGCAGAAACAAGACTGAATGTTCCCATATTTTTCCCGGTGAAAGATAACAACACAGACTCGCGCTCATGACTGGAAGACAGAGAAGACATGAATGATTGAAAATAAGGCAAAGAGGAGGCAGGGAAAGGGAAGGGAATGGGTGGTCAATCAAACTGCCGGACAATTCTCAATTCAGCTACATCCATTTTCACGAGCGAGTCGCAAAAAATCGCCATCCTAGAAGGTCTGTACAACCAATAGATAGAAGAGGGGGAGAGGTAGTCCAACGGTGATTAGGATCTGGGTGTCAGGTTGGACACCAAAATTCGGCTATTCTTTGCCGGTCGACCAAGCGAAACTTGCATCGCTCGTTGAGCGAATTCAAGAGCCTTCAACGTGCGGTCTAAATGCTTTTGCTCTGGTGATGCTGTTACAATAAGTACGCATTTAGCCTGTCCCCCCAGGCATGGTTTGAGCAGGTGGGTTAGTTTGGAGTCCCGGTAAGGAATAGCCAATCCAGTAGAGGCGCATTGACCCGATTTCCGGCGTAGCGTCTCAAACACTCGTGCTAGGGTCACAAGAGATCGATTAATGTACCCCGTCTCCATATGGAGCGTCTCGTCGGCTTCTATGCGTTCCGCGGACTCTGAACCGGCTAGGTCGCACAGCACGAGAGAGGAGGTTCTACGCTGATTGTCCAGCGTACTGACCAGAGTGAGATGCATTCGGATGATGAGATGGGAGCGCGAGGACTCACTGTTCAACCGGGTGGAGCTCACCTTGCGTCGAACGTAGCCCTTCTCGATCCAATGCATCGTCTCCTGCTCTGATGTTGTGATCTTCTCTTCCGCATTCACCAATCGCACATCAGATCCGTTATCGCAGAGCTTCACAGGGGTGATCTGTGGAGCTAGGAGGTCGTAAATCACCTCATTATGGATCTCAAACATGGCAATGTTTATTTCAGTGCACCAGATGCCTTGAAGAGGATCACAAAGAGCAAACACTTCCGTAACAGCACGCCGGCAGATACCCGGACAATTTTTAGTTCCTTGCATAGTATAAGTCTTCCCGCTTCCAGTAGGTCCATAGGCTAGAATACACACGTTGTAGCCGTCCACGAAGGATCCAACAATTGGCTGGATCTCTTCAAAGATGTCTGCTTGATTAGCATTCTCCTGAAAGACTCGATTGAATGCAAAGAACTCATCTCGAGCTGTATATGCCTGTGGCTGATTGTAACCGAGTTGGCGCTGATAGGCCACAGAAATGGGGATGGATTTCCCACAGACGAAAATCTTATCCATTGCACAGAATTCAAAGGGAGACTCCACATCCTCGTCACATTCTTCAGATGGTCTAAAACGACTGATTACTCGGATGTTCCCGTTCACCTCCTGCAGTTGGTTATGCAATTCACGCCGAGTTTCAGTCTCCGAGATGTAAAGCATCTGTAGACGTTGGTGATCAAATTGCAGATTCTCATAGGCCTCTTTTAACTGACCATACTCAACACTCTTTTTTGCTGCAGTTTTACTTCCTGCTTCTGCTATACTCAGTTGGTTTCGTAGACTTGAATTCTCCGCGGAGACCTTTTCTGTTCGAACCCGCTGATTGGCCAGTTCTGTTCGGATTCTATCCAAATCCATTTTTAGTTGATTATTTTGGAGAGTTAAGCCTTCACGCTCCTTGACGTTTTCATTGTAGGAAGTTTCCAGCTGCTGATTAGCTGCTTTGAGATTTTCGTTGTCACAGACAAGTCGCTTCACCTCAAGAGTTGTATTTTCCAATGCCAACTCCGTGTGTGCATGGCCCTCAAGTTTCTTCTGCAATTTGCAGCTCAGTTGCATCAAGGCCTTGATTTGCGCCTCCTTGCTGTCACGCTCGGTTTGAAGTTTTCGGCACTTCTTGTTCAATTCCAGGTTCTCTGAAACACAGCCCTCGGAGTAGGTCTTCAAACACTGGTGTTTCTGCAAAAGACTACTGTGACTCTGTGTTAGTGCATCAACCTGTTGTTGAAGGTTCTTCCTCTGTAGCATCAATAGCTGCATCATGCGAGCCATTTTGAGTCGATGCTCTGCTTCTACCTCCGTCTTATTCCGCCTCTCTGGATCCAGGTCTTGAATCTGTTTCATAGAACGCAAAAGCTTTCTCATTACACATTCCATCACTGTCTGCTTTGTCTTAAGCATCTTTATGTGATTGGAGGAGTCCAAAGGTTTCTGAGTCTGGGAATCTCCTGCAGGTTCAGTGCCTGCCAGGCTGGTATCCAGCATCGTCTCCGAGGTCGCTTCCATCTCTGCCAACTGTTCCACGACCTTTTCATCGGAAAGCTCCTGTAGCGCCTTTGGTAGCATGTAGGGCTGCGCGTCAACGGACAGTGGCTGTTGAGACATCTGGGGAGTTGGTTGATTGCAAAAATGATTGGAATTCCGTAAAAACTGAGTGGAGGGTTGTGTGCTATTGAAGTGCTCCGGGATAGGAGGTTCAACAGGAGGAACATCATGACTTGGATAAAATCCACTCAATGCTGCCTGCACATTTCCAGGTATTTGGGATGTTTGGATACTACCTTGTCCACTGTTGTTGTACTGGTTCATTTGGCCATTTAAATCAATCTGATTAAATGAAATGCCTTGAGAAAGATTTGAATTAATGGAAAGGAACTTATTTTGATTAGCTGGTTCAGTCTCTACCGTGGGGGGGCCAGGATTCAGTTCTGGGGGTAGCCTACTAGTCGTGGAATTCACTGGCACGGAATTTATCTCCGGCTTAAGGTTTATCGTAACAGATTTTCGTGCTGGAGGATTTTGTGATTGTGGCTGCATGTCAGCCATCGTTCGTACCCCCGCCAGTGATTGGCTCTGAGATAGAATTGAAGTTCTACATTGAGCTGTTGGCTTTATGGGCTCCGATACTACTGATGCAGGCGCTGGTAGTGATGACTGCTCCTGTCCTTCCTGCTGTGTTGTTGGCTCCATGGAATACTGTTGCTGTGGTACTACAGGCATTGATTGCGATGGAATAGCATATTGTTGAGGCGCCATAGGCATCTGCCTAGGATGCACGATTAAGGGCCTATTTTGCATCATCATCACGGGTTGCTGTATCATCATAGGCCGTTGCGGTTGCATCATCATTGGTGGTGCTGCCAGTGGCTGCCCATTTCGTGTCATTATGGCATATCTTGGCTGGCCTACCTGTGGTATTGCGCAAGTACTAACCACATGACTTGGCTGTTGTGTCATCATAACACCCTGTGGTTGGGTGGTCAGCATCGCCTGAGGCATGCTGCTTTGATATGCCTGCATTCTGCCAGCCTGTTCACCCTAATTGCGCCCTCTTGTCGTGTTTCCTTCCGCCTGTCTACCTGTCGCGGCTGTTAATTCGTCAACGCTGCACAAATTCACTTTCCCGCCTCACACAATTATCGATTTTTAGCCTCGCTACACGTTTACGCGCTGCGATCAATCGATCAGCTGACGGCACCTGGACGCGCGCACTTCAAATAGCCACTCGAGGAGGACGCATCTCCTCGAGATTATTCTGTAATAGGTGGTCTTTTGAAAATAAACTAAATACTTTTTCATACTTTTTCTCTCACAAGTACGCGTTTAACATGAATTACTTTCCACAAAAACACTTTTTAGCATTCCTTACAATTTTACGTATATGTTATTTGAGTTGACGCTTGCCGAACCGGGTAAGCAAGGGGCAAGGACTCCAACACGGCCGTCTTCACGTGTCCTATAGCTGACTATAGGAAACACAAGGTGATCGCAATCCCGCATATTTACAAACCTTTCATTGACCTTTGACCTGTGGTGATGACAAACAAATTTAAAGTCCACCTTGGCGTGACATTGAACAAGGGCGTGAATTTTGAGACGTTTTACAACGTTCGAAATGTGAGCGCGAAAAGGGAATTTTATAAGAATTAAACCAGGGATGATTTTATTCCCCAACAGTAACTAGGATCCATTTCAAAGCTTAAATAGTGCTTTTTCTTGCCTTTTTTTATTTCTTTATTAATAATTATAACATTTCTAGCAAAGGTTTTTGTGATTTTTCCTGCTCAAATGCCGTTTTGTAAAGACTACTTAATTCGAGTCAGATTTTTGAGTACCGAATTTGCTATTTCCTCACACTACAAAAGGCGATTTGTTTATTTTCGTCCAATAATGTCAGTAGATGGAAAAGTGTGGCCAATCACTCAGCCACATCTACTGTTGGTGCAATACTTTGATTACTTTTTTAACTCTGCTTAAAGCTCCGCTTCTGTACTTTCAATGGACGGTAGGGCCTCTGAACCATACCGGTAGCCTCTCACCTCTTCTCTGTGTTGGTAATACATGATCTGCTCCCTTTTTATGTTATTTTTGACCTCAGAGAGGACTGCGGACGCTACGGTGGTGGCGGTGAAAAGGACAACTGCATTGATTTCTACTACTGAATGCCTAAACCTACTGTGGTGGAAGAAGGGCATATTGGTGCCGATGGGAAAATTGTGACCACCCCTAGTAGAAGGGTTGAAAGTGTTGTCTGCCTATGACAACTTCCCCAGTCCCGTGTTCACTAGCTGTGGATCACCTGGGAAAGTTAGTTATAAGCTCTCTTCGGTAACTGTATGGAGATGCCAATCAAGTGAACATGAGGTACCTCCTCCACCTCTCGCCTGACTGGATATAACTCATGTAGACAGCACTGAAGTAAGACCCAAGTGGTAAGGAGCTGTAGAAGAGATAATTCATCCCTATGAAACCATTTCAAGCCTCATTCTTTGCTGAATGGCTATGCTTTTAGGCAAGCATTCCTACGTGCAGGGATGGACATACAAGATGGCCAGTACATTTCTCCATCTTGCAATACAGTATTCAAACGCGACAGAACTCCAGATCTAGCTAGATTTTTGCGAGGGATAAGTGACCTCGTGGTAAAATATCTGCTCAGCTGCACATAGATTTGATCACTGCCGTGGTCGATTTGTAAGTGTTTGGTGTTGATTCCCGGCAAGGAAGGTTGACCAAAGGGAGTGTCAAGGACGACGCTCAGAAGGGGAGAAGGGCTGTGTAATACTTTAGTTGGTATGTTTAACTCTTCGTTTTGTCTTTGCTGACGCTTGAGGCTCCGCTTCCGCAATACCGGTGGGTAGTATGGCCTCCAAGTCATCTCTTGACCTTCTGTACGTCAATAACACATAGTCTGCCTTAGTAGTCTGACTTTTTTCGGCTTCATGGAAGTCTGAGGCCTCTACATTCGGACACTTTCCCTTAGATCGACTAGTGGTATAAACGCACATGCACACTTGGAGACATTTAAATGGCAATGAAGGTCAGTGGGAGCGGCAACCCCAACTAGCTTGATCAACGGCTGACATCTCTATGCGACCTTTGCGTGTTCAAATTGACTACGGCTTCGTTGCACGTTTTGTCTTTTGTCCTTCCGGTCAGGCACTACAAAGATATAATGGGCATTGGTACTCACCGTGGAAGGTATCTACATTCCTTCGCTTGACCCATCTAAAAATAAGCAAAACTTTGTTTCAATCTGCTTAAAAAGGGGGAGGCCATGGATTTAGGTACCACTTTTACGCAATGACAGCTTTCTGATTGGCCGACTCGCCTCTGGCGTGGCTAGAAATACCGAAGAGGCCTCTACAATTACCCAAATTTGAGGAAGCAGTTGTCTGCAAACATGCATTCTTTCAGGCTTTCCTTTTTCGTGAATTTCACGGCATGGCTGATGTTTAGTGGTGGGGGAAGCATTAAAAAATTGAATCCTCATTCGCTGAAGCAGCTGGAAAGCCAATCCAAGAAGTCAAATGACACATGGCTGATACTCTTCTACGCCAGCTGGTGCTGACATAGCAAAAAACTACCACCAATCTTCGAAGAGGCTGGGAGAGAGTTACCAATGAAGTATCCAGAACTTTCCTTTGCAAAAATTGATGCCTATAAGTACAAGAAGAAATTGAGTCGCTATTATATCCAAAGATATCCCACAGTCGAGCTTCATGTGAATGAAACCTACATCAAACACGTGGGATATCAAACAGTTAGGAGCTTCGACGTCTTTGTGAATAAATACAGGCCGAAGATGTGATGCCCATTACCTGAGGCAGTCAATTTTCGTTTTTCAGTCAAGTCGACAGCAAAAAAGTGTTGGCATTCCTTCCTTTTGATCTCATTCAAGTGCCATTTAGGAACTGTAAATATGCTACAGTCTACCTCATTTTGATTTATTTTTTACTACTTTAATAATTAAATATTTAGTTCTAAAAGCCAACACCCCTGACTTATGCACCCATAAAAAGAAAAGTTTTCATTTAGGGTTAAAGTAATTTAACTTTTACTTGTGGAATTGCCGGGCTTGACCTGATTATTCACCTTTAATGGCAAACAATTTTGACTCAGAAATTTGCACCAATGAAAGTGCGCACTCCACATGGAAATTAACCAATCAACAGATTCGGATGGATTAGACTCGCGGTATTTACAACAATAGCATTTAAATAAGATATTAATTAAAAATTCTAACATTTGGTAAAGGCACTGTTGATATGAAACATCAAAATACAATTTTCCCAATGAGTAAATAGTTTTTATGGGACATCCGTTAGCACTTGAGTTATTTAGACTTTCTGCTTGGGTGCTGCACACTGGGATTCGGATTGGTTGGGGGCGCACTGGTGACGGCGCGCGACATTTGAGGTTGGCATTGTGATTTGAGCTTTGCGACCCCTTGAGTTTTTCTGCGGTCTAAACAATGTCGAAGTATGAAGGCTCAGTGCAAGAACTAGATCCACATGGCCTAGTACAGATAGAGAAGCAGTCAAGGCAATCTAAAACCACTTATGTTATCCTCTTCTATGCCTCCTGGTGTGGGCACTGCGAGGAGCTAATGCCCGTCTTCAGCGAGGCCGCCAAAGCTCTTCCTGGTAGATATCCTAACGTCGCCTTCGGCAGAATCGATGCCAGCAAGTACAAACAGGAGTTAGTGCACCATAATATCAAGGGTTACCCCACGTTGATGACCCTTGTGGATGGAAACTACAACAAATTCTCGGGAAAACGGACATTCGAGAATATAAATGACTTCGTGGGTAAAACCAGGCGGAAGGAGTGATTTATTTTTGTGCTTATTTGCCAGCTTCAGTACACAGTGCTTTGTTTCTAATTTTGGTTCAAATAAATGCAAAACATGTGACAATTTAGGCTTCAAAGCCGATTAACGTAAATTTGATGGCAGATCGACTCAACAAAATTTGCGAAGCCTTAATGTCCAAAATTCAATGTTTAATCGCGTTCACATGGTACCTAGGTAGGCGAGGTGCTGCATTTTGGTCTGATCTAATCAGTGGTTCTGGAAGAAAAAGTGAAATTACTCATTTTACAATCATGCCGACTATCCGGTGGGCCTAGTCGAATGCTTTTTAATGCTTGTTCCCTGCAAAATTTTGGCCCCAATCTTTCTTTAAATCGCCTGGTTTGCGCAACGGCGCTTCAGGCGTGTCCTGCGTAGTTGCCCCACTAGAAATTATCGATTTCCAACCAAGGCATGACTCAGCGCAAACGCTGCAGTTCGATCGATAAACAGGCATGACATTTACACTGCCGTGTGGCGGTTGATCGAGTCCTCCGAGCGGGAGTTGATACCCCTGGCTTTCTCATAGCAGATATTCACCGTTATGCAAACTTGCTAGTGTAACGGAGGAAAAAGATTCGCAAACCTCTTTGCTCAGTTTTGTGACCTAGGTAATAAAAACTAATAACTAGGTATTTTGTCAGATAAATCAGCAATGAGTCATGGCGATGATGTTTGAATTTGTGAAACTGTAGTTTTCACTTCGGAATGCAGTGCAGTGGGGTTATATTTTGGTAGCGCATTTAACTATGGGGCCCTGATTTTTCCCTTAAATTGGGAAAAGTCATACAACTTGAGCAGAAAATGTGTTTTCGATGTACAGAAGGGACCAGGTACTAATGGAGTGGCCCAGAGGCATTTTCGCTCAAAGGAAGTACAAGGACGGAGCCTTAAGTGCATGCGAATCCCAAATGAAGAGTTAAATGAGTAGTCGAAGAGTACCATGGCTATGGAGGAATTTGAATTCCCGCAGCCTGTGCTTTCGTCCTGCAGTATAGCCTTCGGGTAATGGCAAGAACCTCCTAACTCTTCCCTGGTTTACTGATGTATGTCTTATAATAGCGCATTTGCTCATTACGACATCCAGAAAGACTCAGAGTGCTGCAATCAAATGGAAAATGGCGCAGATAAAAGCTAACATGCGCGTCATATTTGCCATTACGATGTCAGGTAAACAAGCAATACTTGGTTATGACAAGTAATAAAGTAGGGTGCTACGGACTGATGATTGTGCACATGCTTGAGTGAGAGAAAATAGATATGGTAAACAATTATCTATATTTGATATAAACGTAGCATTAGACGTTTAAGTCACGCTAAGATGGTTGAATAATAGATAGAAACTCACAAATTATTCTCTTCATTAAATTAACAAGAATCTTAAAGAAAACTGCCATAAAGTTGAACTGAATCTTTAAATATGCCACTGATGCGGTAAATGGCACACATAATGCGCGAGATAATTTGTCGGTAGCCACAAAATGACAACGCTCTAACAGGTGTTTATTGTTATATTTTCCTAAAATGTAGACTAATTGGGTAGCCGAAAACGAAAACCCAAACATTAGTAGAAAAACTCGAATAAAGGAGGAGCAAGGCATGAGGTGCAAAAACTAGGTGTGCAGCAGTATAGCTTAAAATTTTGTGGCATATATAAACTAGATTACACTTCATGTGGGTCTAAAATATGCTTAATTTTGTGCACATATCGTTCGCCTTGAGGTCATTGGCCTGGTCCTATCAAGGTCGAGTTGGTTGTCGAAATTCGATTGCCTTGGTGTAGGGATGGATAGTGTACCTGGTTAGTGTGTCACTTTGAGTTCTCAGACCCGTACTTTAAATTCGACTGACATATTGTCAGAATGAAGTCATCAAACTCTTGGGCTGCCACGACATTCAAAGAGGTCTTTCGAAAGTAGACTAGTTTTCCTTTTTTTTCCGTTACATTTCGTCAATGGCCTTGGTAACATAGTATGACAGACATGCAGCTAATTAGAGCTGATTAACGCACATGCTAAGTTTATTCCTTGCAGAACTTTGCGTAGCATATTGGCCTGGTCTGTTTGGTGCCCAAATTGCATGTTTTAATGTCAAAACTGAGTTTTGGTACCATAATTTGCTATTTCCAGAGGAATTAATACCTGGATTGAGTCCAGCTACTTTTCAACTTAGTCTGCATGCATCATAGCACTTTAGAGTCCCTTCCTATTCATGATTCCTTTGTTTGTGTTATTACCGGTTTCAACTGACAAAATGTTTTCTTTGTCACCCATTTATGGCAGGCGCGTTACAGTCGAAGGAAAACGCTTTTTCGAATAAATTTCAAGTTTGTGAGAACACTCTTTTCCTTGGATCTCTCCCCGTCATTTCCTCAGGTGATAATGGCGAACTTCACGCCACATTGAGGCAGATTGTAAAGGATTACGGAGCTAGCCCCTCAGGAGCTACGTCGCAGCCCAAACCATTTGTTTGTTTCTCCTTTTCCATCGCTAATGAATCCGCACACTTTAGGTAGGCCAAACTGTGATTCTCTAACAAATGTTGCTGCAATGCAGTTACTAAATCGAGTCTCTTCATTGTAGCGTTATCAACCAGCAATCTTTCGAGGTTGTGCAAGGCTTCGATGCTGCAAAGGTTGCTTTCTGCTTCAGCACGTGGATGGAAGACACTCGAGGCTACGTTGTCTTCACATATCCTGACGAAAGCCCTGATTCCATTTCCACGGCTTCCAAATGGGATTATTACTGTTTTGTCTATCAGTGCTCCTCTTTGTTCGAGGTGAGTTATGCGGCTGTTTTAGTACAACATATTACATCAGTTTTGCACAAAACAGTTTATTAATCTATTTCAAACGATGCTAGGATATTTTTGGAAAACTGACAAAGGTTACCTGCTTAATCACGATGTTTATGAACTATGCTCGCTTGTTAAACTGAGGTTGTGAACATATCTTTTCAGCTTCTACACCCTTGCAATTATTTTAAATTAGAGTAGCAACACCAGAAAAAGTATTCCGCTTCTCTACGCATTGAGACGGAATCATCTTTAATTTCTGCTACGCCTACTTTTACCCTACCGCTACCTGGTATTCTGGTCGCAACACAGTTTTTGGATTCAGTTGGATCGCTTTCAAGCTTAGATTGTCTTCAGGTGCATCTTCGATCCTAAGGTTTTCCGGATTGTCTGCAGTGACTGCATTGTCACCTTCATAAAGTAACTGTATTCGTTTTTGAAATCACCGCCACTTTTGGCCTTATTATGCATCAGTCAAGTTCACTTTTCATGAGTCAAGATGTCCACTTGAGGTATTGCCGGAGATTAACCATTACGAAGGATCTGTGACACTTGGTGCATTTAACACTTTGATCTAACTTCGATTTGTTAAATCTAATAGCTATCAATCGGAAGGCAATTTGTACGAAAAAGTGTGATTTTAGCCAACAGCGCACGATGATAAAAAGATGCAACGTTATTTTGTGATGTTTCGAATTTGCTGCAATTATCTAATATGTCCCACGCGAATTTGAAAGAAGCCCAGTAACACATAGTGGGCCCATTCTTGAAAGCTTAATCAGTAAAAAGTTGTTCCAGTTTTCCTTTACCCTCCCCGAAACGCTTACTTTGCAGGAAGTTTCAGATGTTTTGAGTTAGTTTTAATCTAAAATAACAAAATCGTACTTAGTTTTGGAAAATAAAGTTATACATATTCAGACGGGTATTTCCTCGTCTCTTGTTGATTAAGAAAGATGTCGTTTTACTATGATTAGCCGTTACTTTTCAATGTCTTTACGACATCACGTGTGGCGTTTGACAAATAAACAACCTTGGTCGCTGTCAAATAACATCCATACACATACACACTGCAACCCTGGGTCCAATCAGAACGTCACTGTTCCCAATCGCAATGCAAATTTGATGCCGTAATGCCACTGCCTCACTGCGACCGAAGGAGCTGGGAGTGGCCAAAGTGAAGTAAGTGACTGGCATGTTGCCACCACATACTTGAATGTCGTGTCCCGCGATCAATCCTTCTGAGTGGTGGGTAAAGACTTGTGTCAAGTGCCTCTAGGCAAACGACACCGCACAATTGAGTGTGCGCAAACACACAACGTGGTGGTCAAGGTCCAGACCACATGCTCCAAGTACACTCACACACACATGCGCACACACACAGTCGGTTCATTTGCTTCCCACGGCTTGTTCAAATTGCCTCTCATGTTGCACCACTTAGTGGACTGCTTTGGATGTGGAAATCGTGCACACGCCACCAGCATGGACGTTAGTGTCGGGTTTGTCGGCCACTTGAAGGCCTCCGTTCTGCCGCTTGTTTTGCAGAAACCACCTCCACTACTCACAACAAATCATCACATGTGAAGTGGGAAGAGAACTTGCAGTTCGTGTCAGATGACCTAACAATTTCGCGCCATTTTCAGTCCAACTGGCGACACTGTTTCCCGGCAACTTGACAGGACATGCACTGGTTTGTGTGCAACCTAAAGCGCAGGTAGGTGTGAGGCAGTCTGTTGACACGCCACGGTACGGTGCAGCATGATAGAGTGGGGTAGGTTGGATCATAGTGCCCCACTACAGTACAGTAGTGCTCCCCACTCCTTTCCTCTTCGTGTGAATCCTCATCGCATCAAATGCAGATGTAACCTGATCAACGCGATTCAAACTTGTCTCCTTTCGGAATTGGGGTTGATTCGATTCCACAACCGTGGGAGCTTCTCATCAAGTCTGTTGCAAAGCAAGTGAGGAATGTGGGAGGGGAGAATGTACCGTCCCGAGGAGTACCGACGAAATCGTTTGATTTTCATGATGAATCACTCAGTAGTGGACGCATCGCCCTCAGTAAGACCATTGACATGCATAGAGGTAAGACCTACTTGTTGATAGCAAGCGAAACTCTTCTGAATTAATGCGTTATAAATAACTTTCTTGGTACAAAGCTTGTTGGCTGAGATTTGGAGTGAGTTACTCAGCCTTTCTGTCGTAAGTCTGCAAATTAAGTCATCCGCAGGCGACGTCTTTGATTTCTTTCCTCCCTTATCCATCTATCCATCGGATTCATGTAGATGAGAACTTTGAGAGATGTAGTGGGTATGACTGCATTCACACTGAAGGGTAAATGTTGTCAGGACTATCAGTCTGGAAATACCTTGCCAATTTTCTGGAGACTGGAAACACCCTCACAATCACGGACCCTATCAAAATGAGTATCGATGGCATGAAACACTTATGTGTGAAGGAATTCCGTTCGGTTTTGCGGTTGCTTATTTTGGGGTCAACCGGCTTACGTAAAGGACATGGGGCTGTGATGTAGGATTCATTCATTCCAGTCTAAATGTTATCCATCACCACGATTCGACTAGATTGTACCACTGTCTAAAGGCCCCTTTTTGGCTTCTGTTTGTGATATAGAACAAATTTTGATGATAATTGGTTCGTGGTTCTTTTTTCTGTGGAATGCGGAAGATTTTCTGCGAGAACTACTCACAACGTACCCAAAATTACTTGTGGAATAGGTCAGAGGTTGCCCTGCAATCACCATGTGACCCCTACTTGTAAAATTCATTAGAAGGGCAAAAGTTAAAGTGGCCGATATTATGAACTAAAAAAGGCATCTTCAAACACCAAACAACCTCAAGACGAAGTTTCATTAAGTTCATTAGTGCACAGAGGGACCTCGGCTGCCAAAAATAGGCACAAGAGCACAACTGTTTCTGATTGTCGCTCTCCGGAACTCTCAAGTTCATCAATAGATGTCAATGCCTCGGTACTCATGATTGTACTCTGTGCTACTTGTCTGTTCGTGCAAACTTCCATAAAATGTCGGCTGAATTTGATGCATGTGATTTGAGGTAGTTTGATTTAAGAAATGCGTTTGATCCGGTTCCACAGATGGATAAAAGTCTCGTAAAACTTGTCTCATTGAGAAAGGTTTATAACTTTGCAATGACGATTATTTCAGAGGACAGAATATCTAAGGCACCTTTTTTCACTCTTAACATTTGTTATAAAAAGACCATAGGGGAGTATTTTTTGTCTTATACAACCGCCATTTTCATTTGGTCTTCGTTTAGTGAACACGCAAAGGCTAACTGCCACAGCACTTTCACCACAGTAGTTAAGGCGACTTGGTAAGCGGGATGATCGCGAAGCTTTTACTAACTTTCTCTGTTTGGAAAGTGGCGATGTGATTCCTTCCGTAATTCAGGCTTTGATATTCATCTCTAATGTCCGGATGTAGACGGTCGGATTAATACCAAAGTTCTTCAGGCAAGCAGATTGTCTAGATGAACTCTACCCTTTCTAAAATGTTTAACTTCTTGTTATGATATGCCGCTTTTCGCCTCAGAGTACCACACGATGGAAACCAGGGCCTCATTTGTGGCTCTAGTTACAAGGAATCTTGGAACGACTTCAAGAAAGCCTCTACCTTTAAACTACTGTGGTTGATAGCTAAGGCAATTCCCATTATGTCTGTCATATTCCAAGTTTCCTTGTTAGAACAGAAAATAAGGCCACGTGGCTTCATGGGAGCTTAGCCCGGTCACATTAGTGTGGGGTTTATGTTTCCAAGGTGCTGACTTATCTTGCATTTCGTCACTGTCTTATCACAACTCAACTCATTTAAGCAGAGGAAATCGGGACGTCGGTGCGGTTTGATTGAAGACGTCTAATGAAGGATTCAGGCGTCATCAACATGCCAGTCCCCATAGTGATACCATTTAAAGGTCAAGAGGATGACTAGTAATCCATGCATATCAAGACCTTGCAGGCATAAAAGCAACAAAGCGAAAACCCTTATGTTCAAATATACCTAAAAAATGCACCAATTTCATCGCAAATGAATCCGAAAGCCACACTAATCAACAGTTTGCCTATGCAGAGGTGGTAGAGCATTGCTGTGTTAATGCAAAGCCAATTAACTGACACAGATGGGCAGACAGTTGGCGGCTTGGATAGACAATTTTAAATAGCTAGCTTTTGCCTGTTATGAAGTACCAGTTTGTATTCACTTTAATGTACGCATCGGAGTGATGGTGGTTTGCATCAACAGTGGGGAATGCCCCAGTCTCCCTTTGTTTTGGCTGAAAATCCAACGTTAATCTGATCATGTGCAGGCCACCGATTCTTCCGCCTTCCTAGTTGCACTCATAATGGGTAGTACGTAGGTATTATTAATAGGCATCTCCACTCACAGGAAAGGTAAACAAAACTACTACGCAAATGTCGATAAACTGCCATGAGAGATTTTTAATTTTAACTAAATTGTAGCCTGTGAATTGGGGAAGGGTGTTCAAAACAACGCCTCACTTTTTAACATTTTTTGCAAAGTAGATTTAAGTGATGAACCTCAACATTGCGTGAATTATGTTCTCGAGGACGATCTGCTCCTCATTGTAGATTTCAACATAATCGAGTGCCACCTTTCACTACTACTTAAAGTAATTAGTTCACTATTTCGTGTCCATCTCAATCAACTCGTGAGAGTATGCTGGTGAAGTCTCCGGTCAAATGGGCGCCGCTTGAGCTGTTCTGTCAGGGTTTACCTGAACACTTATCCGGTACTAACTCTACTTGACTTGAGGCTGTCACAAACCAGGGTGTAGGTAGGTTCAGCGCTCACATTCGCATCTCCAGCAACCCCTCCTTCCCTTATGGTCCTGCCTGTTGCTAACTGAATGTCCGGAGTGGTATGTATTTGGCATATCTCCGTTAGCCTGAGTGTTGACAAGTTTCATAAAGCTTTCTTTTATGGGTTTGAATAAAGTCAACGCCAACGTTCAGGCGGCTGCACCTGCCATCACGGGCAGTGGAAAAGGAGTCCTACAATCAATTTGTGAAGATGGAATGATGAGAGTTGATACAAAGGTCTCAGAATGCTGAATGTGCGTATTGGGTTACTGTAGGTTCACAAACTCTTTAAAAGTGTGCAAAACTGTAAATAGCAAGCAAATGGAAATCTGAATTTGTAAGAAAAAATAAGATTGTTTATTTGTCCAAAAAAGTGGCCTTCTCTTGTGACAGGCATGAAGAGCTTTGTGCTTTCAAAAACAGAACAGCTTAAACCTAGTCGGTTTGAAAACTCTTTTCAAATCATGTTCCGTTATCAGTAAGTGACCGGTAACCAGATAAGTTCGTGCAGTTTTTCAAGAATTTTTCTAGTTTTCATCGATTGCAATAACTAGCATTACGATATGCAATCTTTTCTCGGCAGAGGGCAAACTTTTGGGCCGTAATTTTAAACAACGTTCTGTCTGGAGAATTTGAAAAACAAATCCACCTTTAGGAGCTTCCATTTTTACCACATAGGTATTTCTCAATGAACCGTCTAATGCCATGAAGAGGAAACAATTACTTGGAGAAGCATCAGGAAGATGTGGAGATGAGTATAGGGAAGGCTGAGGTGAGGCAGTATCACACTCTAATCCTCGAATGCAGTGTAATTTTTCTTCATGGGTGTTAACGTGAGGTCCCTATTTCTGGCTCTCTCTGAAAAAGTTCTTCTTGTGCGACTTCGAGTTCTATCGTGTCGTATGGAGCAGATGGATGCCAGTCACTACCTGTATTTCGCCTTCAGAAAGCAAATAGTTGCATCTTGTGGGGTCGTAGTAGTGGGCGCATTGGATAGTGAATGAGTCGTCTGCAACATACTACCCGTCAGCACAGGTTAATGGATCTCAGCGTTGCCTATTTGACTAAGGACGTCACATACATTCTCTCACAAGTTGATTGAGATGCGCACGAACTACTGAGACAGCTGCCTTAAGTAGTAATGAGAGGTGGTACTAGATGATACCAAAATTTACAATGATGAATAGCCACTACCCCAGAACGTAAAGTGTGCATTGATGGGTGAATGAGTACCAAATATACTAAGGATATCTCGAAACGTTTTGACCTAACCCACGGGCAGCAATTTCGTTGAATTTAAAAATCCCCCACAGTGGTTTATCGACAATTGCGTAGCATTTTTGTCTACTTTTCATGTGGACAAAGGCACCCATTAATAAAACCTACACATTACTTACCACTGATGCTAGAAAGCGGGCAAGAGGATTGTATTCCTGCACATGAACTGATTAGCGTTAAATTTTGGGTCGAAACAAAGAGTGACTGAGGAATTTCCCCCCTTTCACGCGCATCACCACTGCCCCAAAGTTCGCATTGGTTCGAATGCAAATTAGTGCTTCATAACAGGCAAAAGTTGACTATTTAAAGTAGCCTACCCAGGTTACCAGCTGTCAGCCTCTGTGAGTTGGCTGGGTTCGTAGTAGCGCCACCAGGCTCCATCATCTTGGCAGAGGCGTGGGGTCTAAGTCTATGGCTTTCGCAGTCACCTGTGGTGGAATTGGGGCATGTCTTAAGGTATATTTGACCACAAAGGTTTTGGCGGTCTTTCAAGATATTCTCTACTTCATCGACACGTCTATAGAGAACTTTTTTAAGTTTTTGAGGTTTCTTTACGGGTGAATCATTGGTCATCCTCTTGACCTTCAAATTGCTTCGCTCTGGCGACTGATGTGCTGAATATTTTGAAAGCCAAAAGCTAAATATCT